CCCTCAGTTAGATCCTTAACTATAATTCTTGACAAGTAGGTATTGAAAGATTTGTAGTGTTCAAGAGAATCAAGCCTTTAAATAACAAAATTAGAGGGACTTACTGGAACATATTCCTATTAGCGTTCTGCAGCTTTTCAGTTTCCTTATTTCTTTAGGCCCAAAGTGCCCCCGTGGAAAGTCTCTACCTCTTATTTTAAGTAGAAAAAGGGAAAATGCCTTTTTTCTTTTTGACAGCACAAATTAACAGGGAAATGTTTGTAAGAGTTCTTTCATGTTTTAGCTGCACCTTTAGTGCACAATCCTATTTCCAGCATAGCCTTCATAGATTTGAGCATCACCCCATTCCTATGTTTGTCTGTTTCCTGCTTCCAGGGGCTCTGTTAATTAGATAATTTTTTTACATGAACCAAAGGTAAAGTTGTAATCTTAAAACTGCCTGTATTACTTTTCTACAGGAAATGAAACCTTTTACATTCTGCCTATTTTAAGCACTTAAACCTACAGAAGGCACTTTTTACAGTTCTTAGTTGCAGTACACAATTAGAAAAATGTAGTTGTTAACTCTTAAGGCCAAATTCTGCTCATCTCACCATATTTTCCCATGAACATCACTTCTGTAAAATGCTAACCACTTGGCCCTTATTTTTTTTCAATTCAGCACAAATGTTTATTTGCACTACAGAATTAGGGTCATTAGAAGTTTCTGTCACCTGAGCCATTAATCATGAATCCAGTACCAGAAAAGAAAGGGGAGAGGGAGAGAAATCAGGTGTAGACAAAGGTGTATGTAAAAGTTTATAATGATTTGCCAACTTAAATGGCGCTTTTTTCCTTTTCTATGGTTAAATAATTTATTTTTACTGTAAACAGTATTGAATTTTAAAATACTTTTGCCAGTGTTTGGATTAACAGAGCAAAGGTAAAGCAATGAAAGCGTAACACCAAAAGTTGAAATACCAAACACCAGAAACATAGCAGTGTACCGTGTAGGGGACCAGAGATAGATGCTAAAAAGCCTTTTGTCACCAGCTTTTAAAGCAGTGTCAACTTTGTGAATATGTTTACTCCTTCTGCCAAAGTTTCTAGGTCAAATGGACCCCGACCCTCCTCTGCAACAGATGTACAAAAGGAAGAATGAGACTTTGTAAACAAAAACAAAAAACACAAACAAAAACTATCATGAACTAACCAGCTGTACCAAGAGGACCAAAATGCTTCAGTAATTCAATTGAAGACTTTGCTACTTTTATTTTTTTGTTCAAATGTGAGTGACATAATGAAGTAGTTTTTTTCTAAATGATAAAAATATAAACTTTTGAGGTAAAAGTAGTCTTGAGTGAATTTTACATTTTATGACACAGGTTTCACGTTAACATTTTTAACTGATGATGTGTTGACCACAGGTGGGTTTTTTTCCCAGACTTAAGAATATGTTAATATACTTTTAATGTAAATGTGTTTATATTTATTTGAAATGATACAAATGCCCAGGAAAAATAACTATGGCTTGTTCTCCTAGTTAGCATTCATGCATACTGAAATGAAATGTGAATCTGACAAGACTGAGGAGCAAAAGGAAGGGTGGAGGCACACTGGGAGGGTGCCCACCTTGTACGGAATGCAAAGGTCCACTGTCTGTGTTGGGGAAAAGCAGAAAGCAAAGCACCCTCCTTTGTTCAAGAGCTTAAGAAGGATCCAGCCCCTTGCCAGACAGGTGGGAAAACCCACACAGCTGTGACAGAGAGGGGAGAGAAGGTGGCAGAGCATGGAGTCAGCTTGTCTCAGGCCTGTGTCTGTGCTGGGAGGGTGAGATGAGCTTCCTCGGTGCTCACTTTTGGCAGAGTAAAGGAAAAGTAAGGATTTGAATTTTAGTTGCAGGTTTTAGCCCTGTTCTGCTGGATTGTTGAAAATCTATTGGCATATTTCAGTTCTTTAATTAGGGGGAAAAAACGATATATTATTTTGCCTTACTAAAATAGAGCATTTTTTCCTTGAACGCTAGCAATTTTCCAAAGTTTACAACAAAAGAAACCCTCTTTTCTCTCAACTCTGTAGTTTCTACAATAGAATGACAGAGAACCTGAAACCTTGGTTTTCTCCTCAGAAAGAGCAGCAAATAAATTTTAATTGATTTTTCTTAGCATTTTTTCTTTTAAAAGTTGTAGAATAGCAATAACCACCTTACTTAAAACACTGAAAATAAGAGGAAAGAGCAATTGTTAAAATTTTCAATGGTGCGTGTTCCAAAATTAATAGTAATCCCAAATTTTGGGTTTTTTTAAATGTAGAAGGATGGCATTGAAAACAAACATATGGGGAATAGCTGCCACCTGTCTAACAGCAGAATCAGCATTTTAATCAGCATTAAATGTAGGCAGGCTCCTTGGCAGGATTAGTTCTAAGTCTCACCCTGAAAGACAAAAATTATGCTATCCTACATGACAGTGCTTCATTAAGAGAAAACCAACCCTCTTTATAAAATGTTATTTGAAGCAGCCATTTTAAAAGTTTCAGTATTTTTACCTGCTGCCATACAGTTACCAAAACATTTTCTAACTGCAATACCTCGTAATACTGGTAATTGTGTAATGCAACAGCTGCCTCTTAGTGCATCCCAAAAGCAGAGGTGATTTACTTGAGTCACGCTGGTCCTTCCAGGAGCCAAATCCAACCTTTTGCCATGAAACCCTACAATGCTGCCAGGATGCAGCATTCCAAAAAGCACAGGAACACAGGCTGTGCTCACACCTCCAGGGCGCTGCACAGTTCATGTTTTGAGGGCGCTGGATTTGGGAGGAAAGCTGCCACGAGTGAGACACTCGGAAGTGCTCAGTGTTGGCCTGTCCCACACCTCATGTGAGTTAGCAGAATCCCTTTTTTTTGTATGCTAGCACATTAATCTGTAATTTATCACATGTAGAAATCAATGCGTAGTTTAGGGCAAGTATATAAGCATGCGAGTAATGTTACTCTTGTAAATAATCTCCTTGCCTTTCTGTGGACTTCTTACAAGAGTAATCATACAGAATCGTTGCACTTATCCCTGGATCCTGCAACTTACAGTAGGTGGATTGGCAGGATCGTTTCATCCTGTATTTCAACCACAGCTGCAGGTGGAATCCAGAGCAGGATGGGCTCCCAAGTCTCTCTCATAAATACTGAGTAACAACCTCCGGACTGCCTGAAATAGCTGTGAAATAGCTCAGGGGATTTCTGTTCATCGCTACTAAAAGGGCACCATAATGTGTTTGGTACTTTTATGCAGTCGACAACTGCCAGGTTATTGAATTAGAACAAACACATGAAACGCATTGTTTATCCATTGTACTGTTGAGAAACTTGGTTATGTATTTGAGGATGATTTAAAAAAAATTGTGATTTTTATTCTTAGTCATGTAAGAAATATTAGAGTGCCTTTTTATATTTGTGTATAATGGAAATGTTTTGTGAAACTCGTCTTTTTTTTTCATTTGAGTGTAATAAAAGCAATATATTACCAGTAAATTTTCATTTCAGACCTTCTTTGAATGTATAAAGTGTTTCTTCTTTTCATATGTTCTACCTGCATTGAAATGAAAATTAATATGCTAAATTTCTATAGGAATAATGTATAATTTTCGCAGTGCTGAAAATGCTTTCTTATTACACAAAAAGTAAACTTAGGTCAGTGTTATAGGAAAGGGCGTTTTAAACTAGTGACAATCTTGAGTGTGTGTATAAAATGTAATTTTATGCATTTCTTATGCAGTGATCTACATATTAAAGCAAATATCTTATGTTTTGTAGGTTTTGTCTTCTATTTTATGCTTTAGCATGTGCAATATATCTTTACAAACCATGGTGATACGCATCTGGTGCCAGTGTTATATTTTGCATAACATTTGTAAGAAACTATATAAAACATTGTTTGATGGTTTCGGTGGGGTTTTGTCAGTATTGTTTGCTTTTGTAAACTGAAGTTTAGGGACTTGGGTAAATGTCACATATGAAATGAGGAAAAAAAACCTTCATTAATTGAATGACTTGGAATTCAACCTGAATCTTCTCAAGCACAGTTTAGTAACTTTTTAAACTACTGAATGCTGTATTAATGTAATAAAGAACCCTAACTGTAAACTACTATTGCAATGCATTCAGATGGTTATTTTTACAAATAAAAATGGTACAAATACAGTGGAAAACTGAGTAAATTTTTTTTCTTTTGGGGGGAGGCTTAAGTATTTAGCAGTGAAGATGAAAATGCAACTATTTCGTCCTTCCCTCATATGTAAATACCCCTTGCCCTAGAAAGCTCATATTGCTTTCTCTGTAGATCGGGGAATGTGGGGGAACAAAATAAACGATCGCAGTAATTTTTTTTTTTTTTTCACTCAGTCATTACTGCTTTCCCTGGTGAGCACCACCCGCACTGCTGGGTGTGCCCTGCAGCCGGCTGGGGCAGCAGTCCCACAGGGACTAAAATGCACCAGAGAGCTTAAAGATAGCGATGGTACGGTGTTAGAAGTACCCGAATTAAGCAAATAAACAGAACAAAAAAAAAAAAAAAACAAAAAAAAAAAACAACCCAAAAAAAAAACCCCAAAAAAACCCACAAAAAAAAACCCACCAAAAAAAAAAAAACCCAAAACACAAAAAAAAACCCCAAACAAAACAAAACCGGCCCCACAAAACCACATCCCCATCAGCGCTTTTTAGGCGGTGAGTGCCTGCAGCTGTATGTGCGTTTATCACTGACCGCTGCTCCGTGCGCGTTTGTTCGGCGGGGCTGGCCGTGCCCCGGGCCCCCGCGCCCCTCACGGTGCCGGCGCGGCGCCCTCCCCATCATGGCGGACCCGCCTGCCCCGCCCGCCGCGACATGGCGGGCGGGCCCCTCGGCCCGGCGGCCGCCCGACCTCCCCAACATGGCGGCCGCCCCCTGGCGCCGGCGGCGGCCGGGCTGAGGCGCCGGCCCGGCTGCCCTCCCGCTCCGCCTCCCGGGCGGCGGCGCTCCCGCCCCGCCCCGCCGTGCCCGTGTGCGCGGGGAGCAGCGCTCCGCTCCGCGGGGCGCCATGGGGCGGGCGGGCCGCCGGCTGCCCGCGCTGGCAGCGCTCTTCTACGGGGCGCTGGCGGCCCTGGTGCTGCTGGGCGTGCGGGACGTGATGTTCCTCTACGAGGAGAACCGGTGCAGCATGACCTACATGTACGAGTACCCCGAGTACCTGGTGAGTGCGACGGGGTGTAACAGGTGGCACCTGCGGCTCCCGGGGCGCTGCCGCCCGCCCCGGCGGAGCCCGGAGCCTGGGGCGCGGCTCCCCCGGGCAGGGAGAGCAGCCGCGGGCTGGGAACTCGGGGCTCGCTGGGGCGCAGAGCGGTGAATGGGCACTGGGCGTGAGCGGCGCCCGGCTGGCAGGACGCTGCTGTGCCCGCGTCGTGTGGCCGTGCCCCTCGGGGCGAGGGCGGCGGGAGCTGCCCACCTGTAACCAGCGGGGTCTGGGGCTGCCACCGTGCGAAACCTGCCCGCGATGGGAGCTGCCAGAGCCCGCAGTTCGTGTGGCTCGGTGAAAGCCGGGAGCTACGCGGGTGTTGGCCGAGGAAGGGGCTGGGCCGGCTCCTGTGCCAGCACTGCCGGTGCTCAGGAGGCCGAGCCCTGCATTTCATGGCCCTTCTCATGACTTCGTGCTGTGCAGTAGCCAATGTCTCAAAACGCAGAACTGAGCTTTCATTATCAGTGTATTTCTCGAGGTGGTGAACAGTGGTGCAAAGTCTTCTCGGGGAGCACTTTGGAGGTGGCGTGTCCCGAAACATACATGGGAGAGCTTGTAAATCCCTCTGAGGTGCCTCTTGTTTGCTTACAGCCTTTTAGAAATCTCTCTGAAAACCTGGGATCAGTTTGAGACAGGGGACTGCTCCTGGAACTGATGTTTTCCACACACTATTCTGGCTTAGTAGTGGAAGGATGTAAATGCGTGTTTTTAAGTTCACTGGTAATGCCGCAGCACGCAGTTGTTAGAAAACTATCTCTCTTTTTGATAGTAGTAAATACAACAGCTTTTTCTCTTTTATTAAAAGCATAATTGGTTACGTTCTGAACATTTCATTTTTCATTATCTGAGATGTAATTTATGTTGGAAAAAATAATAATTATTCTCAATAACACAGTTCAGAAGTAGGTTGCAAGCTGGCTTGCACAGTAAAGAAGATCAAAAGCAAAACTTCAGTGTTTAAATTCGTAATGAAGCAGAAAGTTAATTTTTGGATCTATTAACCTTTATTTGCTAACTTTGATATAGGCATCTCAGCCTACAAAAGAGGAACTTGGTATGGCTACAGGAATTGTTTTGTCAGTGCCGTAGAACAAATTCATTTAAGCAGTTTTAAGTACTTAAATACTACGCAGCAAGTTTTCAGATCTCCTGGCAGCCAGAACCTACTTCAGCTTCAATCTGAAGCCAGCCCGCAGAAAGTTACTGGCAAAATCCATGTGATGTTATTGGCGGGTGCCTGAAACTCTTGTCTGCCACCACATCTTTGTATTTACTCATTATGGCTTAAACTCCAGGCATTTTTAGGCAGGATGCAAGGCTTAAAGCTGCACAGGAGATGCAGGGGATACAAGTCACAGCTGACTGCGTTGCCCTCTGGAATTTCTGTTTCCTGTGTAATCACTTTTACTATGTGGGAAACAGTACTTTGAGCTGGGGGGCAAATTGTGAATTCGTTTGGGTTTGCTAAGGTATTGTACTTTACAAGGAGCTTTTCATCGTTGGAGGTGTCTGTTGTGTGTGTAGTGCTGCCTTCAGTAGGAAATCCCAGGGTGGGAGTTTCGGGTGGTACAGTAAGTACCTGTCCTTACTTCAGAAGTGGTGTCACGTTACAGAACAACTGCTTGAGCAGTTAAACAGGAAGTTTAATTTCTTTTGTGCCTATCAGTGTGGGTTAGCTCACAGTCAGCCTAGTAATTGATCATCTTTTTTTGCACGAATTTTAGAATTGCAGTGCTTGAATTTAACCTGCCCTTGTCCTGTTCAGCTGTACTTGGCAAGAGAGTCAGAAGTTAGTCATGAGGACTTGTTCACATAAACCTAATTTCTTGAAAAACAAAGCCTGCACTGACATTGTAAAAAGTTGCTGTAGCTTGCTACAACTGATTACATAAGCAGTGTCTTGGGAATTCACAGTTTAAACCCACTGTCATGGAACATGAGTGTCTCTTTTCTTTTGAATTATACATTGCCATTTTATTATAATATTTAAATACTGATTTACCCCCAAAAAAGCCCCAACCCCCCAGTATTTTGACAGTACAATTCTCATGGGTTGTGTGGGATTTTGTGTTTGACATTGGCCCAAGGAAGAACAGCATGTTTATTTTATGTTCTATAAAAGTTTTTGAGAGGACAAGGAATCAGGAAGTTTCTGTGCATGAACAGTTGATTTGATCTGTCATATAAGCACATCTTGATGGCACTCTTAGTTTAGTAATTGGAACTGCTGAAGGTTTTTTCACATTACTTTGAAAGCCTTTGCAAGAGGAGCAGCAGAGAGGAATGAGAATGGGACAGTGAGGTCAGCGAAGTTGGAAAGGCAAGATGAAGAAAGGGAAAAGACCAAAGGATGAAGATATAAGCCTTGAGTGAAGCTTAAATTTTCTTGTTCTCGGTGCAAGAATTTAACTTGCACTCTCACACTGTGTTAGTGAATCAAGATAATTAAAATACTGTAGATAATACACACACATAGATACATCTCATAGAATAGAGGTTTTATATATATATATATTTACAAAAAAATAATGAAAATAGTTTGCAAATAATCAGTATACCAAAAAATTTGGAGTCCAAGGGGGAAAGAAAATAGTCATTAGTTGAGGAGAGATAGCCAAGAACAGGGGAAGGGAAGGAGTGTGGGGGCATAGAATTAAAGCTAAATCACCTTTATGGTAGATGCAAATGAGAGAAAACAATAAATTATTTGAATTAAAGATGCTTCTATTTCAGGGAAGCAATTAAGAGAGACTTTACAGGAGATTTGCGATGCAAAACTGAGTTTAGTCTTGACCTTGTTCTGTAAAAGTGTTTCCTTAAAATATAAATTACACCTTAATACATGTATCTTTGTATTATCTTATTTTTCTCTCAATTGTTATATAATTCTAACATAATTAATCAAATACTGGAGTGAGTGTATTGGCATTCATAAAAATTTTAAAAATCTGTATCTGAGAAACTCAGAATTATAAACCAACCAACCTATATGCAGGTGTTAAACCAAGATAGTAGTAAACAAGAACACATTTAATTAAGACAGTGACTTATGACTCTAAGAGATTGACTTACTGGTGTAAGATTAATCCTCACCTAGCCCTTGGGATCAGAGATTTTGTTCTTTTCTCTTTAGGGATCCTAATCCTGTGACTCAGATGTGTGCTAGGTTACAGGGTTACTTGTTGTTGTCAAGCTGATATGTACATTAGAGCTTGAGCTGTTCAGAACCAGGTGCTTTGTCAGACCACAAGCCCAGCTCTGGAAAGGAAACAGAAAAAGCCTCAGAGAACCATGGGTTTGTTTTTTCTGCTGAGCTGTATTGAGGTGGTAGCTGCTGTTTTTTGAACTCCCACTGCAGGTGACATCTCTGTAAAAATCAGCAAAGAGAATTCCCACGAGATCTGTAGTTTCCCCAAGGCAGCAGGTGTTACCTGACAGTCTCCCACACCCACTGCTCTCTAGGTTTAGCTCTTGTTTCCTTGTGCTGAGATCCATGGCATTGGGAAGGGTTCCAGAACCATTCCAGTGCATCAGGAATTGTTAGCATCACTCTTGTGCCCCAGTTTCTGGTCTCAGCTTCTCCTCTCCTGGGAGAATTGGTGGGGTTTTGACATACCTTCTTTTTTTCCTTTTCCCTGCCCTATAAGGCTGGATTTACATTACAGATGTGCAGCTTTGATAGATATATAATTGCATTCATTTGCAGTTTGTTTCAAAGCTACTTGAAGGTAATCACTCTTTAGAGTAAGTAACTGCAGCTCATTATGCCCAGTAATACTTACTTAAACAGTTTGATACGCTATTTTTAATTAGTTCTTTTTTAAAGCCAAACCAAGTTTTTCATTATTTATTCTTTAGACTGTAATTTACAGCCACATATGCCGGATCATTTAAATGGCTAGATAGCCACTGTATTTTCCTCTTTGTAACTCTATAAACAAGGTTTTTGTTTTCTTTTTGATTTTTGCAATAGAAAATAAAATTACCTAAGAAAACAGCCAGACGATACCCAGCATATGAGCTGTATCTCTATGGGGAAGGGAACTATGCTGAAGACAACAAAAATCTCCTACTGACAGGAATTCCAGTTCTCTTTCTGCCTGGGAATGCTGGCAGTTACAAACAAGGTGAGTATTTAGCCGAGTTATAGCTTTGTTACAAAAAAGCTCTCAGATTTGTGCATTTCTGTTTGAAATTATACCAGATAGAGTCACAGTGCTTGATCATATTAGTCTGTTTAATTCCAGTCAGGATACATGATTTTTGTTTGAAATTGGCTGAATGGTTAAGCTGTAATATCTTTTGAAAGCCAGGAACAGTACAGTTTATGCTGTCCTCTAGCAGCACTCCACCCTTGCTGTACATTTGATTGCAAACATCTAATTGGTTTTGATTTGAACAGTGTTTAGTGCCGTGAATGCCAAATAAAAGACGACCTGAATTTGATTAGGAGAAGCTGAACCATCTGTTATCTGTGATGTAAAGGAATTCCATGCTATAGAAATCAGCATCATCTAAGCTTGCCCTCTAGTTTTAAAGCATTTTAATGCTTTAAATGCTTAATGCTTAAAATGCTTTTAATGTTTTAAAGCATTTTCAATTTTTTTTTGAATACCAGAGCTAATGGTACATCAAGTTTTGTGCTTCAATGTTTACTTTGGTACCTGCTATTCCTTCCAGTCTGAGTTTGTCAGACTGTTATTTTTGTTCCCTAAAATATGCTTTGAAACAGTAAATAACCCACTCATGATGTTAGAAAATGGATGTGTGTGGGGAAAACCAGCATAGTCTGAGCCCTGATTTCTTACTGTGATAATTTTTCCTTATATTAACACTAAACTTGATGATTAAATTACCTGATTTCAGAGAACCTTTAGAGAGCTGGGGTTTTTTGAGAATGTACTTGCTTAGCTTATTAACAGCGTAAAGTATTTTACCAATTAGTTTTTTCAGAAAACCCATACAGACTTCCAGGCACAATAGCATCCAAAGAAGATTATAAACATAATGATTATGAGAGGTACCATATGGACTTTTGTGATTGTGCATGAAATATTGCAAATCTGCGAATTAATGCTGTCTCTAAACACATGGCAGTACATCACTATGCAGGAAATAGAATGGTACTCTCAGGGCATTTTAGGAATCAAAAGGAAATATCTGAAGAACAAACTAGGTGAGTAGAAGTACTGCATGCTATAGGAACAATAAATATTTTAGTCATGTTCCTTTTGGAGTGGATTTAGGAAGACTGCCAATACATCATCTGTACATTTTGCAAAACTTCTGTTAAAATGAATTCATATTAATTCTTACTTTGTTCAGAATTTATTGTGAGGCAATATTGTGAGTTTTATTCTGATGCCTAGATGAGCAGAGAAGGTGTTGCTATTATAATTTTTATAGTTGTTTAAAATATATTCATATTTGATAAGCAATGAAGACAGGTGCTGCTGCTGCCTTTGTTATCTTCATAGAACCGTTTAGATTGGAAAGGAGCTTTAACATCATGGAATGCAAGCATTAACCCAGCACTGCCAAGCTCACCACTAAGCCATGTCCCTGAGTGCCACATGTACACAGGTTTTAAATGCCTCCAGGGATGGCAACTCCACCACTACCTTGGGCAGCAAGTTCCAATGTCTGACCTCCCTTTTAAGGAAGAAACATTTCCTAAGATCCAATATAAATATCCCCTGGTGCAACTTAAGGCCATTTCCTCTTGTCCTCTGAGTTGAAAGAAGAGGCTCACTCACAGCCCACCTTCAGGAGTTTTTGATGTATTACAGGCACTTTTGAAATATTAATTCATCATCTTTCATGGGCACTAAAATGGAATTTGTAAAATGTACGAAATTCAGACTTTGCATAAAAGATGATCTGAGAAGGAGGGTTCTGCCGTTCTCTCAACCTGTACCCTGAGAGAATCCTAAGAGAATCTTGCTCCTGTGTGGATTTGGGCAGACCTTTATGACCATCATTTGTTATTTTATATACTGTTATATTTTTGGGACTTTCTCTTTTATTTTCTACTTCTGCTACCATGCCTTTTTATTTGCAGCTGTTATTGTTCCCATCCTGCATTGTCTCCATGGAAACTTGGGGACAATTCTGCACACAAAAGGCTGTATTGAGTTGTAGCCAGGGTTAGACAGGGAAGACAGGTCAGAAGCACGACCTTGTAAAGTGAACATTTTCTCACTTGAGGTTTTAGATGGACAAGTGTCCTTTAGGGTTTGGTTTTGCAATCCCCCATACCTATCTTAGTGGTATTTGGGAATGTTGTCATAGAGTTGATGGCCTTCAAAGGAGTTTCAAGAAAGCCTAGCAATAGGATTGCCTCTGCAGTTGGAATCAAGAATGCCTTCTTCTCATTTGTACCAAGAAGTTGCAAATGAGATGAGAAAAGCAGCCTTAAGGTGGAGGAACATGATCCTTGTATAAATTTGTTCCTGACATAAAATATCTCTGTTGTCAGCAGTAAGCTGAAAAGAAATGGTTTGGTTTAGAATGTCTTTTATAAATTACTTGAGGTGAACAATGGATTTAATGTATTTCTTTCTTAATTGATTACGTATTTATGTGTTTTTCTGCTAAAGTGATGCTAAGCAGTGACTGTTGGACTGTTCTTATTGATGTGGTTTCTTTTTCTAGTACGTTCTCTTGGCTCCATTGCACTTAGAAAAGCAGAAGATGTTGACTTCAAGTATCATTTTAATTTCTTCAGTGTCAACTTTAATGAGGAGTTGGTTGCATTGTATGGTGGTAGTCTGCAACGACAGACCAAGTTTGTCCATGAGTGCATAAAAGTAATTCTTAAGTTGTACAAGGTAAGTAGTGACACATGCTGAGTAATTCACTTCCATTTGGGAATGGAATTCTGGGCTGCCTTTCCTGCTGCAAAACTGAAGAGTGATGAGTAGGGGAGGGACACTTTATAATGTGGCTAGATGTTAGAAGGTGATAATAATGCAGTAGAGAAGTGCTTTTCTTTAACGGATTTTTAGTACTTACATCAATCCCAGGGCTTTAAGGAGGTTCTGTGTTGTGTTTCTAAAGAAATATTTCTATGCACAATGGATGTCTTTTTCTAGTAGAGATGTAAACACCTGTAGTTTACTAAAATATTCATATATATTCATTGCCTTACATCAAGTTTTCTCTGGGAAAGTTCTTTGATGTCCTCTGTTCTTAAAAGTTTCAGAAATTAAAATCAGCTTAAGTTTACTAAGCTTACACAGGCTACACAGTATTTCCTTTTGAGCTGGATACTTCATGAGATAGCAAGTAAATTTTAATTCAGTTTTCAAGCTTGTTAAGTTGATGCTAATTCATGTTGTCCTTGAAAGACCATAAGTGAATTTGGGGGAGCTGGGGGGAGGAAATCTACAGGTGATAAGAATAGTTCAATGTCAAATCTGTTTCTGATGTGTCTGGTTGCTCTTTGCTGAAGGATCGAGAATTTGCACCGAGCAGTGTAGCAATAGTTGGGCATTCCATGGGTGGTCTTGTTGCAAGAGCATTGCTCACTCTGAAGAATTTTAAGCCTGAACTTATAAACCTGCTCATTACACAAGCCACACCTCACGCTGCACCTGTAATGCCTTTAGACAAATACCTTACTGGTGAGTATTGCATTTGTCTAATCGCATGGTATTTCTTTATTGATCCTCTCAAGCTTTAGTGGGGAAGATTCTTGCAAATCGACAGCAAAATGCGCTGCTTTATTTACTGTAATTAATCTGTTCTTTGTTACTCAAGTAGTTGAGGGTGCCAGGATACTCAGAGAAACTAAAGTGTCATATAGAATGGATTATGTGGACTTGAGTTTCTGTGCGAGGCCTGGAGCTCTCAATAATTTGTAATTTAATAAGTTGCAGGGCATGTTTCTAAATTTATAACCTTTCCAGTGAATGACATATTTTCTTTCTTTTCTTTCTCCTCTTTTGAAACTTGACCTCTGTAATGACTTTTATCTTTATTGAATAAGATAGTATTCGTTCTGTAAAAGGTGCTAAATTTAATGTTTTTCATACCCAGAGGTTGTAGAGGGGAGTATGTAAATATAGATGTAATTACGTATTTTCAATATCTACAGAAAAGATCATATTTTCCCCTCACCTAAATAAGTGTGGCATAAAAATAAAGTATAATCATTACACATGTACTATACACTTCCTGAAAAGCTAGATTTGATTAAACTATACTGATTAAATATGTGTTTAGTGATAATTGTGCTGTTACATGTAGATACTGAGGGAATTGGTGAAGGGAAGGGAACAGACATTAATTTTCATTGTTCTCTGTGACACCCAAGAGGAATGGATTATCTTTAGCTACTGAATTTAATTATTTGTGTTTGTATTAATTCTCCATCCTACAATTGATTTCAGTGCAATGCTTCTTCCTTACTGACTGTTTCTGGTCTTCAAGTAAATCTGTGTCTGTCTTTCAAATAAACCTATGGATTGCTACTCTAACAATGTATGTGCTCAGCTGATACAGAAAATGTATCTGTCTTTCCTAACTGCTACCTCTTTGGGTTAAAACAATAATTTTCCTCTCTTACATGAATCAAAAGTGATAATCAGAGCTCAAATGTCTCCCAGGGGGCTTACAGAAACTTTTAGTTAATGTTTATATAGCGGGTTTTTTTGTATATCAAGTAGGGTTATGAGAAAATGGTGATTGATTTTAATATATTTTTTAGATTTTTATACAGCTGTAAACAATCATTGGATTCTAAAGGCCCAAGATTTAAGAAATTTAACCACCCTTTCTGTGGCGGGCGGATTCAGAGATTACCAAGTTCGTTCAGGACTGGCTTTTCTACCAAGATTGAGTCAACATGACAGTGCCTTATCTGTTGTGGTAAAAAAGCAAACTGTTTTTTTGGTTTTGCATGGAACTGTGTTAGATAGTTATTAATGTAATGCATGTATCAGTGTCTATATGGGCAGCATAGTGTAAATCAGTATGAAAATACTGCATGGTCAAATTCTAGATGGATATGGTATGGTTATAAAATCAAAAATAGTTGATGTAATGAGCCTCCATTGGAGGAATATGTGTGGCACTGATTGGAATCATCTATCACTTGGTACTGTTTCTTCTTACCACCTGCTTGCACTTCTTCAGTTCCAGAACACAGGTTTTATTATCCCATGTTTTTGCAAGAGGTGTGTATATGCAGAAAGGTGAATGTATACTATAGAAGTAGAGTGTTCCATTAGAGAGCTCTGGCATAGCACCTTCTTTTTGTATTTGTTGTTTTTCATAGAATTTAGGAATAGAAAGGACGTAGAGGATCATTAAGAATAATTTTCTGCTTTTTGAGTCATCTATCCTTTCAAAAGCAATCAAGGGTCATCAGAAAGTATTTAGGTTTGTTGTTCCATCCCTCTCCATCAATTTGTTTCCTACATGGACAACGGAGAAGCTGGAAAACACTCACAAGGAGGTGGCAAATTTGTAATTTCCAACTTCCATTTACTGCGGAAGCCAGTTTTTTAATGCCTTTCTTCTGACATCTGCTTAAAATGTTGTATGAAATATCTGTCATTCCCTTGGTGTTTACCTCCCCGTGTGTTGTACAGAAAGCTGTCTATAAATAGGCTCAGCTCTGATCCTGCTAGGCTAAGAGGATTAACTCTGCATTCCCTTTGTCCTAGTAACCCTTCTTTGCATCTGCTCTACTTTCATTTCTCTTGAGTGTTGGTGACCAGAATTTTGCATGAGCTTTCATGAGTAGTGGTACCAGTTCTTTCTGGCTTTTGTTTGGTTTGTTTTGGAGGTTGTTTTGTGGTTGTTATTGTTCAGTTTGGTTTTTTCTTCCCAATGATGCATTAATAGTTCATAGTTTATTTTGTTCATGTTGAGCAATAGGTTGATGAGCTCCATTTGTGGGAGATTTTTTTGATAGTGTTAAGCCCTAAAATGTAGTACATGAAATCCATTTAACGCAAGTAATGGCTTCAGACTGACCAGGTCTTTCTTTGTGGTGTTCTGATGGTTCTTTATGTTGAGGATGCCCTTGGTTTCTCAACAGCAGCTTTCATTGGCATGCTGCTCTTCTCATGTGCTAGGATCAGTTATTAAAATAGCAAGATTAGTCATAGAAGCAGTCTTTGAAGAAATTTTTGGTAAGTTTCCTCCTCTCCATTTTCTGCCCTTTCACTCTTAGTCTCTGCTATTTAGCATAGATAGTTTTGTAATTTTCATCTTGCATGTGCTTTAGCGCTTGCAAGATGGGTGACTGAAGAAGTCATTCTGTTGTACCCTAAGCCCTGAAACTCTTAAGATAAAGGCTGTTCTTTTTAATAATTGTGCAAATATGTTTAAATAAGGAGGGGAAAGTTTTCCATATAATTTTAGAATGTTGAGTACTAACAAAACGTAACCATTTTCTTCACCTGAACAGAGCTCAGCTGTGCCTAGAGCTTGGGCCTCAACTGACCATCTCTCCATAGTGTGGTAAGATAATGGAACAAAGGTTAATTGAGTGACTGTGCATAGCTCTCTTATCCACTGTTATCACTTTCTACCATAATTTAACTTCACTTTAATATTATGGTGAAGTCTATTCTGATCACTTTTATCACCCTGGATCTTTCCTTCCTAGATCTAATTTTACTTATTCTGTCTTCTAGGTGCAAAGAACTGATCCTGGCTACCATTAGAGCTTTTTTTGATCTCATAGATGAAAACACAAGGCAGGTCTGTATAAGTGGTCTCTGTATATTTACCCATCAACCTTTCTTCTTCCATCCCAGAATGTTTAATCAGGAGAGATATTTTACAGAAAGCTCTTTCTTGATTATTCTAAATCACACTGAGAAAATAGTTTTCATTTTGTACCAGTCACTGAAAAATCCCTTTGTGTTGTTTGGTCAAAAAGTCAAAAATAAGACGGTGTTAGCTCAGTTTTCATTATTGACTGTTTGATGCTTTATAGCTGAGCTGTGGGCTGAACATTTCTTCCACAAAACAGCAGGTTCAGTTGACCTTGCACCAGATCAACAAATTTTGTTAGATCTGTAGCTGTGAATTTGACCTCTCAATAAGAGCAGAGCCCAAGATGCAGAAGAGGAGGGATTTCAGGTGTTCCTTCTGAGGCTGTTTGGGACAGACTCCTCATTTTTCATGTGTACTTACTTTAATGTGTGCTTTAGAGAGATAAAAAGAGCAGTACAGTTGTTCTACAGCACTGACTGTGCTAGAGGGTAAAACTTTTCAGACATCAGTTGTAGTGGCCACAGTTTTGGAAAGTGGAATAGATAAAAATAATTCCTGGAAGGCCTATTTGGAAAAAGCAAAACCAAACCGATCAAGCAAACAAAAATCCTAACCCCAAACAAAAGTGAATCCCAGTGTAGCTATACAGCTGGATATGAGAACTCAGATTAGCTTAAATGTGAGAATTTTTCTTAAGCTGTGCCCTAAGTGTCATTTCAGGAAGAATGCATGTGTGTCTATAAAGAAAGTTTAATGGAATGGTTTCCGGGCGTTATGAGTAGGTGAGGATGTAAAACTCCTGAAAGTTTTGGCTGTGCTTTATAATGTGTAGATTTTCTGTATTGCAGTGATTGACTATTGATGGCATTTCAGAGCATTGAATTCAGAACAGAAAGGGCTCAATGTCTTCTAACAATCTCTCCTGCCTTCCCCCCACAAAACTGTATCGCTAGCTGTGATCATGAGATGATCTTAAACTACACACTTTGCTAAAAAATTGATAATGTGCTCTTGTTTTAGATAACTGAAGACCCAAAGAAGAGAATGTCTGTACTGAATCACCACTTTGTGAGACACCCTGCAAAGATGTTTGAGGAAAATCCTGAAGCTTTTACACACCTCACAGGTATGCAGCAGTTGTCTTTTGAATAGGATTCAGTGATACTGCTTTGTTAATTGTTAATCTTCTCACTAACAAAGTTTCAGATTACACTTTGTCCTCCTTCAGACAAACTAAAATACCGGTTATAGACCTAAGCAATCTGCTTTTATTTGGTTTTGGTATTAAATTGGTTAACAAGGGTAGGTGCAAAATCTGTCACTTCTATATAGCTTGGATTCTGAGGATTCATATTTACACCAGGTTGTCCAGTAGAAAATCTCAGAAACTGGGAATTGCTGGATGTCAAAAGGGCAGCCTTATCTGCAGTGGTTGCAAGAGGGACTGGATGGGTGTTGCAGAGCCATTGTGGTACTTTATGATCTGAATACTCAGATTTGCTCCATCAATCACTTCCTTTTTCCCATGACATGGCAGGGTGAAATGAACTGTTCACCAAGGGTTTCCCTTTAAAGTTCCTTCCTAAGGATGCAGAGTTAAAAGTGAGAGATTTTGACTGCCTAGAGTCTTATGGACTAAACACAACTTTTGTAGGGCAAAGCTTTATTTTGCTGAACTGGGCTGAACTGTTTTACACAAACTGTTTTATTTCAGGAATGTTGTCAGTGTAAGACATTGTAGAGTAGTTTGTACTTTGGTGTCCAGTTTTGGGCAGCCTCTTTACATGAATGTATTTATGCATTGGCATCTCCTGAAAGTAGTGTGGAGCAAAAGACCACCAAAATAGGCAGTTCCTGGGGCATAGGAAATGGGGGAAAGAGGCTGAGAGAACTGAGGATTTTCACCCTGAAGAAAATGCTGAGGGGGATCATGTTGCTGTTTTCAACTACCTAATGAAGAATTGGAGAGAAGGTGAAGTTAGATTTTTATCAGAGGTTTACAGTAGCACAATTGGCAGTAGAAATCGTGTTATAACAAAAGACATTCTAATTAGGTATTAGGAAGAAATATTTCACCAGGTAGGTGGTCAAACACTAGAACAGGTGCCCAGAGAGGTTGTGAAATTGATTTTTTTGGGAGGGTTACCTTTTTTTGGGTCAGTTTTTAGCAATAAGAAAAATTGGTTTAAATTGGATTTCATGCTTTTGTCTTCCTATTCATGGTGACCTCTTGACATTTAGCTGAATTTTTATAATTAACTTGTTACTCTCCTTAAATGGAAGAAAGATACAACCTCTTTGCATGACAATTGGGATTATTTGTACTCTAATCTCTTCATTATTGTCTTACTCTTTTTCCTTAGCCATATCTTTAAACTGCTCCTGTTTTTTTGTGTTTTATTCACTTTGCTGATGTTCTTCTGCACAAGTTTCTGTATTAGCTTTCTGAAATGTTGGCAGGAACAAAGATTTGGGCTCTTCCTAATGTTGCCTCATCATTAATCACTCACCCTATAATTACACAAATATAAGTCTGTTTCTTTGTTTTTGTTACCTTTATTTTGTTTCAAGATCCATGGGGTTTTTATTTTATCATTAGTATTTAGTAACAGGATCCTAGGGGTTTATTGTTTCCTGTGTAACTGATGATAACTGTTGCATGTAATTGTAAGCAGTAGTAATCCTCAGTGTTGATTAAAGCACATAAGGTTTGCATCCATATATGGATAGAAGATAAGATCTTGGTGATCAGTAAGATACAAGATTTTGGATGTAAGGATAATTGTTCCCGCAGTGCAGCATACTGAAATATTTATTTTTAGGAGCTTTCAAGTGGATTACAGTCAAAGGCTCAAAATGGACTTACTCAGTTTACAATGTAAGTAATCTATTTCCCCAGTGTGTGTTTATGTTTTTGTTTGTTGGGGGGCGTTTCTGGTTTTTGTTTTTTTTTTTTCTAATGAGTTGGTTTTGTTCTTTTTTTTTTTAGGATTCTGATGGAAAATATTTCTCATTTCCTCTTGCAAGCCACAGAATATCATACAGTCATGTTTACTGTGAAAATAGTATGTTGGTGAGAAAATACTTCATTAATGTCTGGAGTTCACTTATAAAGATGTGTCTTTTAAATTTCCATTTGCTGCAGTTTTAAGACAATTAATGAGCAGCTGTTGAAATTGCTGCCATCCATTTACAATTACAGCCTAATGCATGTCAGAAGTACTACCTGTTTTAGCATGTCCCACTTGGTATTCAAGATCTGAAACCTTCAATGCCACCTGAACCTCAGATGTTTTCTTTCCAACTCTTGTGGTTAGCTCCAGATTCTGTGTCCTTTAGTTTAGTGCAGTTCTGTATTGATGGTTTGGAAGAAAGAAGTTGTTTTTAGTGTGCTCTGTTTATGCCAGACTTCTAATTTGGGAAAGCTGTTTATAGGTTTGCTTTTCCATAATAAAATTTAAGTGAACCTGAAAGGCTGCAGAGATCTTTCACTAAGCAGAGAAAGTGAGTGGAAGACAGATGAGGAAACAGCATCATCTCAGTTGTCTGCTATGAAGAGGAAATAATGTGCAGCATTTCTTGTTTTTTTAGCTTGAGACACATACATTCAGCCAAATTTTTTTTTTCAGTGTTTTATACAAGAATGAATTTAATCTCTTGGCAAACTGAAGATGGATAAATACACTTTTCAGAATCACGTCTTTTACATTAGTGGCAAGAAAATTGAGATGCTTTCCTGTTTCATCCTGCCTGTCCCTGTTGCCACTCCTCCCCTTGGCAAAGATGCCATTCATACCACCATTGTGAACAGCAGTTGTCTGTGCTTGGTGCTTTTGTAATTGTCTTTCTCAGTGGCACCTTCAGTGTTTACATGTATGTTGTGATCTTAGCTGTGCTTTAATAGGATAACTTTGGCCCTTGTTATAGTGTCTGAAACATAGGCCTAGTACAGCTTGAGAGGAGGAGGGAGGCACAGAACAACTGTCTTAGAGCTACATCATGGTGCTATTGTTTCAGAACACTTAAGTTCTCAAGGAACGGAGCAGTAGAACATCAAATATCTAAAACATTCCTCTTCTGTTTAACAGAGTACCTTGAGATGTTTCTTTTAGCTAGAAGAGATTAAACATGATATATAAGATGGATATTTTTGAAAGAGAAATTAGGAAAGCTTGTTTGCTTAACCTTGTATTTATTCATACAAAGGGTGACAAACTGACATTATTTAAAATGGTTCCTAGAAACCCCCACCATCCACTCTAAAGCTTCACCTTTCTGTCTTTGCAATTATAATTGCAAGATTATGGTATCAGTCCTTTAATTATCATCAGTTTAACCCTTGCATTGTTTGAAGTAATCAGTATTTTTAATATATTTATAAATGCAATCACACATAGGTAATGTAGTATTTTATGGTATTGACTTTACAGGACACAAGTAGCTGGATTTATGGCTGCATGAACACTAATTCATCAACGTGGTGAGCATGAACAGTTCCTGTTCTTTATTTAAATGAGTTTTGTGAGACTCTGAATTTAAAGTCTCTAAATTATCCTTGGTAGGAAGGGATTGGAAGTAAAATCATTACTGTAAATAATTCATGCTTTCTATATCACCAGGAAAACAGGAAAGAATAGCTTTTCTTAAAATAGGTGAGATTCTTCTTCAGGGAGCTGTATTTTTGACCTTCATAGCAAGAGCTGGAGAGGAACCTTTCACAAGGGCATGAGGTGGCACAACAAGGGGTAGTGGCTTCAAAATGACAGGGCAGATTTAGGTTGGATATTAGGGAGAAGTTGTTCACTGTGAGGGTGGTGAGGCATCAGAGCAGCTCCCCCATAGAGGCTGTGGATGATCCATCCCTGGAAGTGTTCCAGGCCAGGGTAGATGGGGTCCTGAGTAACCTGGTCTAGTAGAGGGTTCCTGCCCTGTCCACAGCAAAGCTGTTGGAACCTAGATGGTTTTTAGTGTTCTTTTCAACCCAAACCACTCTGTCATTCTGTTTCTTTAGAATCCTGTGACAAAAGACATTAAATGTCACATAGAGCCTTCAAAAGAGTGGATTGAAGCATCTCTTTCTTTCTTCGACTTTGCTACTGTCATATGGAAAGTATTTAGACGGGTGCTTGGTTTAGTGCTTATTTGTTATGACAGTCATTACACAATAGATTTAAAACATTGTCTTAGCTTAAATTTGTAAAATAAACTCTAAGTAAATTTAATCTACCCTTCAAATTAGGGAAAACTTCCAGGCAAAATTGAACTAGCAGAGTTTTTGTCGTTCTGGGATCACTGAGGTGTACACCAGAGTCTTGACTACAGCCCAATGTCACAATTACTTTTTCCTGATCCAAGAAGTTGGCTATTACTCCTTTGTAGGACCTTTGATTAGCATGAAGTGCACGTTACTAGTTCAGGACTGCTACTTAAACCTCATCTAACAATAGTGTGTTGGCTGTGGACTGTCCTGAGGTCATGAACACTATTTATAGAAACAGCAGTATTCTGGTATTCAAAAAAATGAAAACCTGAAGTGACCAAATGGATGTGTTGCAGTTCAGTGTGTGAATGCATTTTAGAACTGTTCCAAACTCTTTAACAGCTAATAATTGTAATTATTTATATGATCTCTTTTAGATATTTTCATATGAAAAGTTGTGGTTTTGATATTTAACCAATGCTAATAAAACTGCATGAAAATTCAATGTTAGTGCAGTTTTAGCTCATGAAAAGTTTCCATTTTGTGTCTAAGCTGCCTGGCTAATACGTGCTGCAGGTTTTCTGTATGAGAGAGTTGGAACTTTGCTTGGCTTGGTTTTGCATAAATAAGATTTGCACTATCTGAATTTACTGCAGTTTGATAAATTACTGTGGTAGCAGTACACCCAAATTTCTTCTCAATTTAACATGTTAATTCAGAGAGAGAAAGAGAAGCTGGTATATTAATCCTATTAATCCACTGCCATAACGCTGGGCCTGCATAATGAGCATGTTCATCCCTTAATGTGCATGAATTTTTACAGCCTGGAAGCTGCTGATTTATCCTGGAGAGCTGAGTTACTTCCAACCACCAAGGTAAGTGTGTACCTAACTTGTAGGAGGGAGAGATGCTTCAGGGGGTGGTTGCAAGTCATAGAGGAAGGAGTTGTTCTGTTTGGAGCATTGAACAGATTGTATTTCACAGGAAGAGGGTACAAGAGGTAGACAACTAGGAACTGGCAAGGGGCAAACTAACGGGTATGTTCAGTAATGGCTTTGCTACTTCTTTATTTTTCTTTTTTCCTTTCTTTTTAAGGTTGTATTGCTGAAACTTCTGGACTATCCTTCTTTGTCCCACATTGTCATTCAGGTACCTCCTGCAGTTGGCAATAAGGTAAAAAAATATGACATTCAGAAATTGCTTGCTTAGTGTATTCATAACTTTCAGGTTATGTGACAAGAGGAAAAGGAAGTATATTAAATATGTGCTAAGTTACTCTGAGAAACCATAGACCCAGAGTATACATGGTTTGAAAGTAGCTTCTGTAAGCTCAGAAACACTTCTATAAAATACCAAACAATAAGGCATGAACAGCACTTGAAACATGTACAAAGCCACAGTTCTCAAATCAGTTCTGAGAGTTCTTGTTGGAGATTATAATGGTAATCTTCCTTGTTCTTCTTAATACTCTGACTGATTTCCTGAATGTTCATACCTTTGAACAGTCATTTCTTTTACCAAGGTTAGCAGAGAATACAGATAATTGAAGGCACCACACCTGGATTCTGGGAGGCATAGGTCAGATATCTCTGCAAGCTCTTAAACCACAAATGATGTAGGAGACTTGAGTTGTGCAGAGTTTAACAGTTTGAATCTCACAAATGAGATTGATATCTTTGCATCAAGGGTTCTCAGGATCCCAGTAAGAGGGATGTTTGAAGGCTTTGTGTGCTACCCATCTGGATCAGGCAGGCCTTTCCAGTTAGTCCTGGAAATGGCAGAATACTGAATTGGAATTTCCAATCTAATCATATCTGACATTGCTTTCTGTGACACAAATACAGTCTCTGTGGTATATTAATCTATGATCCAAGAAGCTATTCACAGCACAAGTGAGTGTGATGTTCTTCTGAGTGTATCTTCAGATAGTTGTGACAGAGACATCTTGAAGTGAAATTAATAATGCACAATTTTCAGGGTAAACAAAGATAGAGGAGAGATCACTTGAGAAATGTAATTTGGCAAGTACAAAGGCTTTCTAGTCTTGTGCTTGGGTTTAGATCTGTTTTTAATATCCTCAATTGCAGTATACTTTGGGCTGTGAATTCTTCAAAGAGGATTCCAGAACAGTCCAGCTTCCTGTAACACATCTTTTTTCATTTGGTAAGTATAGCATATTGCTTTTGGAAAGATGGAAAACTACTATAACTAACCTTTGGATAATAAATTTGCCTAAAAATGTCAGGTTAGGAGGTTTTAAGGGATTGTTTTTCACTGAAGCTAACAGTGCTTTTGTTAGTAACCAAGAAATAAGAAACATGGGGGTTTAGACTAGCAGATATGAAAGTATGCAATTCTCCTGGAAAATAAATAATCTGAAAATATAGTGCATTCTCACATAATTTTATATAATAAGTGAAAATACTACATCCTTTACAGGGTTTTCTTCAAGCAAAATTCTTTTAAATTCAACTGGATTACTTTACAATGTACAGCTCCAGCACTTCAACCAAGTAAGAATGCTACTTAAGTTTTTAAGGTAATGTAACCTTAAAAGAAAGAGGGAGAAAAGTTGAGTGAATTCTATTTTTTTGTGTTCTAGATATATCAAGCTTTCAAAATTTATATAGACAGTCGCTGCCAGTCACTCAAAGGTAAATAGAAGTCTTCTAAAGTAGATATTTATAAAACAAATTGTTGAAAATTTGTAGAAACTAAAATCTTCTCGTGCAATGGAGTTTAGGCAATGCTGTTATAATCTGTTCAAATATGTCTGTAATATCTCTCACTTCCCACTTTAAGAAGGATGGATCAACGAAAATTAGGAATTAGTTCTTTAATGTTTGCTTTTCTTATTTCCCAGCAAAGGGAAGTTGAATTTCCATCAGGATTCTGCCTTATATTGAAAGTGTTTCTTGAGAAAAGCATATTTGGCTAGGATATTTATTTGCTGATAAAGGGACTCAAATTTGAATGTCGAGCTACATAAGCTTAAACAGGATGGGTTGCTAAAGGACCCTGTTTCAAACAAAAAGAAAGTGATGAATTCTATTAGACTGAGATTTTGTTTCATATTGAAAAGCAGAACTCTTCTCATAACTGTTCTTCCTTTAAAAATTTATGACTCATTGTCTTGTCCTATAACAACCTGAGTTTAAACATTTTTCTGCTAACTGCTCTGATCTGCATTGCAAGCCCAGAGATTCTGTGTAATGATCTGTGTGCCACCTTTGTTTTACTGGCCCTGTAGTTTTTAGAGACAGTTGCCACATCTGGTTCTTAGTTAAGTTTTATTTTTTAATGCTGTTCCATTTCAGAAAGAAAACCAAGTGTTTACAGACTTCATATCCCCTGGTCATATGAAGACTCAATAACTGTAGCGAAGTAAGGACTTTAATAACTAATAACTTTTTGATATGTTTTTTTAAGAATATTTGCATCCTGTTGTGGTAATATTTCTGATATGAGACAGTTTCTGCAGTCTTAAGTATTTGGCCTCTGCATCTTTTCCTCATTTAGCTTTCTGCCCTTGTTGACAAAGTTGTTTTGCCTTTTTCTAGAATAAGAGTACCTACTTATGGTTTGCTTAATGGTTCTCACTAGTTTTCCTGTAAAAGAAGTCAGATATGCTGCTCTGAAATTCTCAGGATAGTCATTGACCTTCTCATGAGTGGATAGCTGTGGCTGCTCTGGATGCTGGCTTTGTCCTGGAAACCAGGGTTTGGATTATACAGTAGCCCTATGTTTGCTTCAGCAGCATAGTCCTGACAAAATCAAATCATACTGATGGAAATATATTTGTCACTTATGAAGTTGAACAACCTGACTGTATTTCAGATGGTTGGAAAACTGTATTTCTAGTTTAGTTTAGAAGTCTGAAGGATAGATCACAATTTCCAGCCCCCCATGTTTTCCAGCAGCGTAATACTTGCAGGAAACTGAATTGTATTCTGGAGGATATGTTCTTTCCAGCCCTGGCACTCACCATATTTGCATGCTCTATGAGGCAGTGTGTTCACTGAACTTGTCTGCTTTCTTTAGTGCCATGTCCCAGGATAGTTCAGAGGAGAGGGCATTGAGGATGTTATGTAGTTCTTTGTGACAGGATAAACAAGTTCCTTACACCATTTTGTCACAGCTTGAGGAGACACTTGGTGTGGTAGATCTGCTTTATGTGCATTTGTGAAGACTGAGACACGTTTGTATTTTCTGCTTGGTTATAAGGACAGCAGTGACCATGTAAGTTGCTGTTTCAGAGTTCCATCTCTTGTTGAGATTTCTGCCAAACTGCACATTGCTCAGCCTCACAGTGACAGCAGCCTTCCAGAGTTAAACATCTACTCTTCCCCAGACTGTCAGTATGAAGTGAGTAAAACAGTTTTATTTTATTGCTAGTTTGCATTGCTAGAAAATTTTTGCATAAATCAGTCTTTTAAACCATAGCTAATTAATCTAAATAAATACTAAGCAGATCTAAAGGTGGGCTGTTTGGCCTTTGTGTGTTACAAGTATTTTGCAACAGCTGGGTTAGTACTGAAAGTTGGACTCTAAAACTTTAAAGCATTTGCTTTTAATTGTCAATAGCAAGGTGTTATACATTTTAGTTTTGAGATTGCTGTATTCTAGAACTTAAATTTGCTTCTTAAAAGTTAAAGTATATTGTACTTATGCTTATCATTGTATGAAACAATTTTTTTTTTTTTCCAAGGTAATTTTGAAGACATCACTTCTACAAGTTCTTGGGCAAGTAAGAAAACCTAATACTAAACTGGTTTTTTTTTATGTCAGTAGCATCTATAGAAATTTTTACTTCCTTACTTCCTTACTGTGGTACATAAGGTTCCTTCTTAATGCCAAAAGGAACACTATTCAATGATTATTTTGCAACTTTCTCCGTTGCCAAAGATCTCTCCCGGATGGATGTCAGGCCCCAGTCCTCAAAGGAGCAGAAAAGCTCTCTAGCTCTAAAGAGCTGCTGTAAATGTGGAGTATGTGGCTTTGTGGTGAGCTCAATATCTGTAGGTCACTTTAACTTTCTTGCCTGATGAGTCAGTGGTGTTAAAACTTTAAAATACATTTGGCATCAATTAAGTTGAGGGGAAAAGTCTAAGTAGGTCCATATGCTCCTTTTCAAGAAATCTTCTTTGGTTATCAATGAAGAATACATTTCGACATGGGGATCAGTAAAAATAGACTGGCCATATGCAGTTCTCTGGATCTAAAGAGTAATTAATTTGCAAGCACCTAAGTGTAGTGCTGGAGTAAAACTGGCAAGATTCTCTATGTGAATGTATACATTTAGAGCAAGGATTTTTCATTTTGTTGTTATTTTACGAGAATTTATAGGCTCTTGGTATATTAATCATGACTTGGGAGAGTGGAAGCCAATTAATACATGCATGTAATTGCTTCCAAAAGTTCTTTGCCTAAAAGCATATATAACTATATTCAGATTTTGCTTGGAAAGTGGCTTTTAAATTGTTTTAAACTTCCTTTACTGAAATGTGATAGTTGATTTTTTTCATACTTTTCTTGACTGGAAAAAAACCCATTTGTTTCTTATTTGATCATTTATCCACACCTGTTTCATTAGCTTCTTATGAGATATTCTAGTCTTTTCCTTCTATAACATTAATCGCTATTGGAGGTTATTAAATATGCATTAAAATGAGAAACTGGATCATTCAAGAAAGATTTTCTAATCTCATTATCATTCTGGTTTCATGACAATATTTGTGTATGTGTTTTTAAATTATATTTTTTGTAGATAGAAGTGAAGTTATCCCTTTATCCTTGTCTTTCAGATAGTAAGGTTCCATGCTGGTGCTTTTCCAGTCTATATTGTTTCTAGTATTCTTCTTACTTATGGAGGACAACTGAGCACATTAAGATCAACAGGTAGCTTTCTAAAAATCTGTATATTTTCCTCTGTCACAAGTGTTTTTAGAGAAATTGCTTATTAAGTTTAGTGATGAAAGACTAGCTAGATGTGAATTTTTCAAGCTAAATATCATTCAACTTATGGAAACACTTGGATCTGTATTCTTCTTTTTTAATTTTTCTTAGCTGGTAGTTCTTCAAGGTTGTGTTGTAGCAAAATCTTTAATATTTTAAATTGCAGTCCCTTCTCTGTGAAATATCAGCGTTGCATGGTAGTTTAGAATTACCAGAAATCTACTTAAAAGTGCATGTAAAAGTTTAAAATACATTGTTAACATGCAGAAAACGTGCAGGAAGATGAGACTTGCATTACAGCTTTGTTATGCTGTCATGTCTGCAGACAAAATGCATTGTTGTTAAAATTCAGGGGGTGTTTGTAACAAACTCCACAATGTCTCTAGGAGCTCATGTGCCATATTGCCTTAATGTGGGTGACCCAGTGGAGAAGGGCCTTGGTGGTAAAGTATGCAGCCTTGCAGGACTTAGACAAGGCATGGTTATCTTGTTTTCAACTCAACTCATCATCGTCGTTGTCTGAATTTATATTTTGTTGTGGATGATGTCTGTTGAAATTCATTACAGTAACTACAGATATTCTCTGTTCTTGATCCTAGGCCAGTGCTCAGACTTCTCCCTCGAACTAGTTAGGGCAGCAAAGCCCTACAAAGTAGAACCTCTTATAAGCATTGTTGTGTTTCTGCAGGGGTGAGTTTGCATCATTTATTTGTCTAAAGCAGTTTCCAAAGCAGAAGTTACAGTAAAACTGTTGCTGGGGAATAATATTATTTTATTTGTAGTCACTATAAACACCTGTCTGTTATTTTGCTTGAAAGACTGTAATAGAAGGAATAGATGATAGATATCTAACTGTAAGAGCAATTGGAAGTGATAAATAATACTGCTTTCATGTTTTTGGCAGGTTTAACTGGTTTAGAGAGATATGGGAATCACTGTCACTACCAGAGGTGGATGCTGCTGTACTGAGTAGGCAGGATGCATGGTTCCCCCTTGTGTCCCTGATTCTATTTCTTTTTGGGACAGGCATTGCCTACTGGAGTGGAGTATTTTTCTCTACATCTCTGAGACTCTTCTCTTCATTATGGTTAACTCTGATTAGGTAAAACAACATGATTCTGTATAATTATGCTCTTCTAAATGACTCTGACCCAGACAGTTTGGTTTTTTTTTGGTTCTGTTTGCTTCTGTGTGAATGCTTGGGCAAGATTGAATTCTGGGCAGATTGAATTTATACATGATTTTAGATATCTGTGTTTGAAAGCACGCAGAAATTGATGTCTGGGAAGAAGTACAACAGGAGTTTTGTTTCTGGATTTTTTTTTTTAGACCTACTGAACTTCAGAAAGATAAGTTGATTACACCCAGCAGACTCTGTGGGATGGTATCTCTTGCTTTGATTAGCTGGACCACTTGTGGTGCATTTGCTGTACTCATTATTTATCTTCAATACTTGTTCAAGGTACTGAAATGCTAAACATTTTGTATTTGTAACTGAATTGAAAATTTTAGGTGCTTTTAATTAACCCCAAGTTAAAAGTAAAAATCCAAATTACCCTTTTTCATACATAAAAGAAAGTTATTATTCTCATGCTTGAAATAGATATTTCTAATTTATCAGTGTCATAATCTTGTAGAATTTTTCTTCTTTTGTTAATACTTCTCACAAAGAAATGTATGGTCTCCCACATGCCCACTACAACAATGCAGATAATTGAAAATTTTAACTTATAACTAGGCAATATTATAAAAACAAAGACTGATCATTCCTTTGAAGAGTAAGGACTCCTCAATTTCTTCTCCTGTACTACAGCTTTTGTGTGAAGAATCCTTACTTAAACAAACCAACTGCTTGTCTTACAGGTTATAAAACTGCATGTAACTGTAAGAGCAGAGCAAAACATGCACAACAGGGTGAGTCCCTTTCCTGCTTCTGTTCCAAACTGTGGCCAAAAATTGTCTGGCAAACTTCTGCCTTGATACTCCTAGGTTGTGTTGCAGTGACTGGGTAGCTGTAGTTCACTTGCTGCATGTGTGGTGTGAAAGAGCAGCCAGGCCATGAGCAGCCTGCTCCATCACACATGGCTGCTGTTCAGAGTTTCTGTAATGTGAACTTGTCATCTAAGAAGGGAACTCTTGAGTACACACAGATTAACAGCATTTGTCTAAATTTTGGTATTATGGCTTATTATTCGTATTTGGCATGGCTTATCTTAAAAAAGAAATCTAGGTAATAATCTATACTGCAGGTAAAATTGCTTTTTCTAGAGAGGCAGCATGTGCAGTTCAAGGTTTTTTTAGTCCAGAGATGACAAATAGAATGTATTAGATGAATATGGACTGAGACTGCAGCAGTGTGAATTTTATTTTCTGGGTTACTTGAAAGTATAGGATCAAAGATGTAAGCAGGTGTGGATAACAGCGTATGATAACTACCTGCTTTTTTTTTTTACAAGCATAGAACAAAGTCTGACACAAAAAGTTGTTGAAAGTTTTCTTTGGGTTTCTTGGAGTGGATTTTTTGGGTGTTTAGTTGAAATCCTCTCCTTTCATCACTGTATAATATTTTGTTTCATTTATGGGTTTTTTTCTGTAACTGGAAGTTATTATCTGCCAACTCATTTGTTAATCTTTGCTATTTATTCCTATAGGTAATATTTTACTCCCAGTTGCATTACTTCCTATATCTTTCCTGTGAATGATCAACTGTGATTTTTCACCCCCATGCTTTGTTACTCCTTTTATTTTGTTCTTCCCTCTTCCAGGAACTCCTTTTCATTTCTTTGGTGTCAGGGCACCTACAGTCTCCATTCTTTTCTTCCATAGATATATAAACTATTAGTGTATGAGAAATTTCTGGTTAAATTTAGATACTTGAAAATTGGACTTTGCTTTTGGTGGCTTTTTGAGGCATAAATTGCAGATTTTCTTCCTAAATCACAGCTGGTGTGATACTGTTAGGATATTTATCCCCTCCTCTTTCCCCAGCGTGGGTTCTTACAAGCCTGTGCACGTTTTTGTGACTTCTGTCTTTCTTTTCCAGGATTCAGGCCACTCAAAAGAAGCTTCACAGAACTCCAGTACACACACAGTCAAAGCTCAGCATTCAGTGGACAGCATTCCAGAAGCAACACAGTCTCCTTCCAACAGCAAAACACTTGCTGAAGCTGTTAACAGTCTTAAGATGCACATTACAGTCCTTAATTTATTCACATGGATTGTGCTGCTCAACTTGCCATCTTTAATTTATTGGTTAAAAAATCTCAGGTAAATTCTTAAATTGACACTAAGGTGGAAGAAAGTTACTGGAACCTTTGAATATAATAAAAATTATAAATGTTTGATTCTTTACATTATTAGTTACCTTACAGTTTTAAAGACTTCTGTTAATTATTATTGTTTTCTCTATCCTGTCTGTTTTTTATTGTGGTGTAAATAGATGTTAAGTAAATTGGTGATATGTTTAAGAAAGTAATGTTTCAGAAGGGGTTTAAAATCAGGCAGGGATGCCATATAGATTTCATGTATATTTTTTTGTCATCAGCACATGGATATTATTTGGCAGCCTAGTTTAGAAGTGATGTGCTTTTTAAACCATTTCTTTGCAGGTACAGTGTTAGACTTGATCCTGATCCCTGTAGATCCACAGCTATTATCCTCGTATGCATCTTAGAAATTCTAATGAATTCAAGTACTTGTGAAGTGAAATCAAGGTACTGTAGCCCAATCTCTAGTTTTGCTTTCCTGCTTCTTTGTGAATAATCATTTGTGTGGTAAAACTTAATTTATGCTGCAATTGTTCAGCCTCTACAGGGGTTCATATGGTTAAGTCTCAAAGATGAGCTAAAATGTGTGCAAAGTTCCTCTATTTCAGTTCAGAGGAAAAAAATCCCCTGTATTTGCCACATGGAAATAAATTAAGTATATGCTGTCTAAGCAATTGGCTGCATAACAATTTATTGAAATGTGACTTTTTAACTCATGATTCATTGAATCCTTTCAAGCACAGAATTCAAATACATTGAGCAATTATTGTCAGACAAGTACAAAGAAAAGGGAATTCTACAGTTTTATAGTTATGTTCTTGTAGCTTCCTTTATGGGAGTAGAAATATAATGTGTTTTCTACTGGATTAAGAAGTTCTGAGAACTTGGTTTTGCTGACAGAATATTTCTTGTTGAGATATGAAACTAGTCAGTGCCTCATGAATGACAACAATAATGAATGTCATTTATCCTCTTGATCAGTACCTGTTATCTCAAGGGATCTAAGCCATTCAGTCTTCCTATGTTACAGAGAACAAATTTCTAAATTAATATTTGTAATGTCATTAACCTTTTTGAATAATTTCCTTATGCATCAATTTTTATGGCATATTAGACCTAGTTGTTCAGTTTTAAAGATTAACAAAGCCTTGAAATATAAATTACTTTTCAAAGGAAAACAAAATATGGCATTTGCATGCTTTCTGCATATGTGGCTACAAAATGATGATTTTTCTTCTTTCTATTCTTACAGTAAACTCTTGAAGATTGCAGTCAAAGTTCCACTCCCTTTGTCTGTTGCAATGCTGGCCTTTGGACGAATGCATCTATACAGAGTCCCACACTTTGTAACCTTTTCTCTTCTTCTACATGTGCTGTGCTGTTTTGTGTAATGTTCATTCTATATAGGACAATGCACCCTAGAAACTTAACACTGGAGATGGGAAAAATTGCAACACAGAAATGCCTAAATTAATATGATCAGTAGTTTACATTATGTGGGAAAGAGGACAGAACTGTGAATACTTTACAGAAAATTCATGGTTTTATTCATGTTGCTTAGAAAACTTCCTGGTGTTTATTTCATGTCTCTGAAAATGGAGTGATTTGGAGTGATTTAACTGTGTATAAGCACATGACTCATACCAGTGCAACATCTCAATACTCTGCCTTGTAGACACTTTGGTATTTCACTGTACTGCTTTGTGAAAACAGACATTTTTTACTCACTGTGCCATGCAGTGTCTGTGTTCTGAACTTGCATCTCTTGCAGGTCTGAAGTATGCTGGTTAAAACTCAATGCATTTCAAGCACACTGTGACTATCACAAAAACCACACAGCCAAGTATACTTTGAATTATTTTATGTTAAATTCAAAAGCTGCCACATTTGTGTCCAGACAAACTAGAATGTACTGCTTATATAGAACTGTTATTTCTATCAAATTATTTGTTCAATCAGTGTGAGTGGAACATTTGTGAGATTAGTCTTACATATTTTACTTTTTGTGAGAGTGAGAAGACAACAGTATTCTATGTAGCTTTCTATTCAGGAAGGATACCAGCAGATTCATAAACAATTTGCTGTAATGTTGTTTTAAAACATTGTCAGTTTTATCTGGAATTTTGAAATTAATCCTTGGACTTTGTCCATATGTAGAAGCTACCAAACGTTGAGATATGGTGTGAGTTAACAGTGCAGCTGCTGCACTCTTTCTAAGTAGACAAGGCAGGCTTTTTTCCTATTGTAAACAGAGACTCAACCATCTCCTAATAAATGCCAATACATAAATGAATACGGAATAGTTACAACCCTGCAATCTCCTGTCCTGCCATACAGTGCTACCTTCTGCATGTGGGCAAACTCAGTAATAGTGGGAAATACTGACCGTAATTATTAGCTCTGTATAAATTTTATCTTAGTGCCTAGATGCTACAGTGACTGCCATTTATAGTAAAGCCTACAATAGCTATGTGTAAGGAATTCTGTCCCCTGGGCATGTGTTTTGCCAACAGAAGAAATCTCAGCAGTCCTTAGGTTGAAATGATGTATTGATTCTGTGTAGGGATGAGCTTACTACTTGCTTCTGTGTTAGCTGTCTCTGCTATGTCTGAGATACCTGTTACCTTCATCTGGAAATACTAGACTAGCTCAATCATCTTATAGGAATACCAAGAGGAAATCTGCTGCTCACAGTCAATCAAGTATACTCTTGTTACAGTAGTACAGCCAGCCTGACCCACTAATTCCATCATATCTTAATAATCTTGCCTAAAGTGCCTCAGTTATTTCCAGTGTGTTGTTAGGGTCAACTCCTTTGAGCTGGCTGGAAAGACTTAATTCACACAGTGACTTTCCAAAATGAAGGACAAACATGAAGAAAGCCACGTGTGTTTTGTTTGCTTATATCCATGCCAGCAGTTCAACTTATTAGTAAATCATTAAAAGTGCTGTAACTGAGTAAGGCTATTGTAGTTAGCCAAACCACTGTCACTGTTATCAGTAATCTATGTGCTGGTATTCTAGTCTTAACCTTTTCAAAACAGAAAGTTAGATTATATATAGTGTTTGTAAATCAGAAAAGTTATTTGAATAGATTATATCTTGATATTTTCTAATCAAATGTATGCTACAGTATATGTATATAAGATGATTTGTGTGACTTAATGTACTTGTAGCTAAATGCAGGAGTTGGTTAAATGAGAAATTGCTGTTCAGACATAGAAGAACAGAGTTGTTGTACTTGCAAATGGCTGTGAATGAAAGATGGTGGCAGAACTGCTTTAGGGCTGGCAAAGGGCTGTGAAATACGGAGGATTTGATTTCTGTGGAAGATAGTTTTCCTTGACTTTCGTGGTCCATTTGGCTTATTACTCTATTTTACTTTTGATGTTGTTTTCCCACCTTAACAGGCTCTTTCTGCATAAATCCATTTGTTGGAACTGTTGGAAATGAAACAGACTCAATATTTGTATATTTGATAGCTTTCAAAATATGCCATAAAGTGAAACCTACTGAATTACAGCAGCATAGGATAATACCAATTTTTTTTTTCTTTTTTTTTTTTTTTTTTTTTTTTTGGCTGGAGTTCTATTGATGATTGTTAGCACTCTTCATAAATTGGGTTCCGGTATCTTGTGTATTTTCCTACCTGATTTTCAAGTTGGAGGTAGGAATAGGTATAATCCTGAGTCTGAGATCCCAGATGACAAGAGTTTTTCACATCTCCCTCAACGCTCCCTTTTCTCAGAGATTGTTTAGCTTTACTGGGGACAGGAGGGGAAGTCCAACTCCTATTTGGAATTGAAATGCCTTGTGTGCCATTAAATGGATTTAAACTGTTGTCAGGATGTGTGTCTGGATCATGCAGTGATCCTGGACTGGACAACTTCAGCTGTTTGGCAGATCAGGAGTCTAATCCCAGTTAGATTTGCCATACAATAAATGGATGGTAATAGGATTGGAACAGTCTTAGAATTCATCCCGTTCTAAGAGAAGATGAATTATCCTACTTGTCATTCTGAAAAAAACTAGATTTTCTAACAGTCTGAGATGGTTTTTCAGGTAAAATACAATGCTTGTTTGTTGTTACTTTTGGACAAGAAGCTTCTGTTAGGTGAATGTGTAGTTCTGCCACTGTTATCATTCCAGCAGAAACGTAGGATAACCCAATATATATATATATACTGTTAGTTGCATATATAAGGAGATGTAAATATTACTGAAATATCCTTTATTATGAGTGGGCTGCATTTATAAAACAGCTTTTGGCAAATACATTATAATGTCTCTTACTACTTTTAATTACGTTACAATTCCACTTTATTCTTCAAATTTTAGATTATCTAGACTATGTGGGAGGAGATCAGGGTACAAATTGCAAGGATTTAGACCTCAGGATGCATTCAAAATAAGAACTATTTATGTGGATCTAATATAACTTTTTAAATAAGCTATCAGAAACAATGAGGAAACAGGGTAAGAACTTAAAATACTAAATGCCACTAACTTTTGGAACAGCAGAAACTTTCTTTGACAGGGAGAGATTTATTGAGAAGTTTTTGGTCATAGCTTTATACCCTGAAATTACTCTGGAAGTCTATAGTCTTTTCTGCTTGATGTCATCAAACGCGTTCCTCACAGTCTCATCATGCTGCAATGACATGTGTAGCTAACACTTCATAGAAAGTCTCTATGTGTCTGATAAGGAAAAATTCACATCTTCATTGGAATTACCAAGTGTACCTTGGAACTGAGTAAATTAGTGTTGTCCAAAGCTAATCTTCTTAGTTGTGGTTTAAAAGTTGCAGTGGGTCACATTTCAGCATCCTGTTGAACAAGGATTGGTTTGGGGGTTTTGATGGGAAATTTCTTTGTATGTTTTATTTCCAAGAAACCTGCAGTAACTGGAATTTAAGTTAATATTATTTCCGACATTTAGAGTTCTGCCCTGATTTTGGTTTTGAGTAAGCTAATTTATGTAGCAAATCATTCCTTAATATTAATTTGCTATGTTTCAAAACAAATAGATGAATAATGACAAAACTGTAAGCGGTGCAGTACCAATACATTGTAAAAGGCATAGAGACTGCTGGTATGTCTAAGTGAATTTTTCATCTATAACCTAATTGGACTAACTTTAAAGTCAGTGATTAATAAAATAAACTGTATTGACATTTAACCTCAAAAGCATTCCATATGTCAGTGTTTGATACATCTCATTTTCCATGTGTGTGCCAGTAACAAGTGATGAACTCGCTTAGTGTTCTTCTGAAATCTGATAAGTCTGATCCATCTGACAGCACAGAACAAAGTCTGTTATGTAGCCATTAATAAATGTAAACATTTGAGAAACTTTAATTTGAATCAAGTTATTCCAATACAGGGCTGAGTGTGTTTAGACTTTTGTTATATTTATACTGAGACAAAACCAGCCATTTACTGACCTTTAATACGCTGAGCTATGAAGATGTTTTTGGAAAGTGGTTGTAGAGTCTGTACAAAATTGTGCTGTTGTTCTAAGTCACTAAGCTATTAGAAAATTGTTAGTTGTAAAGTAGACTGAATTCTTAGTGCTTATTATCCATTTAATGTTTTAATGGTAAATGCTTCTCACTTAATTTACAGCTTTGACTTCCTGCATCTCTTTGTTTTCTGGGAGATAATCAGTATAGCTTTTGTAAGCATTTAGCACTGTAAAATTTTCATCACTGTTCCTTTAGGGGAGACATACTTTTGTCACCAAATCTACAAACTGTTGTTGTATAGCATCTAAGAAATGTGTGACAATGAAGGACAATTCAAAACTAGCCAATTTTTTATTAAAGTACAATTTCTACCTTCTTTTTAGAGCCAGAACTTTAAACTAGAATATTAGAATCCATAAAGTCTTAAAAAATTTGAAAACCTTTTGTAAAGACTATGCTTTCTGATGTATATTTTTATTTATGGGAGAATGTGTTCAAAGCTTTTAATCAGCTCATCTATCCTCAAACTCAAGTAAAAAGTATACACTTTGTCTTATTCATAGACACTGCTGCTTTAAGAATGAATTTTAAGCATTTAGAGAGAAAATTCCATAGCTCTTACTTAAGCAAATCTGCCCAGCCCTCAATTTTTCATGTGTCTAAGCACATAACTGCCTCAAATATGTGCTTAGTGCCTTGTAGGATGAAAATGTGAGCTGTGATATTTTGACTTTATTTTCTTAAGATTTAAAGTTTCTGTCTGCATTCTTAAATGTAGACAGATTTTGCTATTCATGGTGTTGTAAACAAACCTTGTAAGCATTGCCTCTCTACAGTTACTGGCAGCTTGTGCTCTGGATTAAGTAGGACTGTGTGGTGTCAGAGCTGACTGTCTCTAAAAACCAGGGGTGGTGAATATCATCATATTTGTTACTTGTGGCACATCATTGCAGGTCCTCCTTGCTCTGTCTGCTTTGCAGGGTCCCTGCTCTGTAGTGCCAAGCAGGATGTTCCCACAGCAGTGGGAACTGGGACTGACCTAGAAGTGCAGCAGCTGTGTCCTGTAGACTCGTTCTGTTTGTTGAAATACCAGCCAAGACTACTTTTTCCCTCCAACTTAAATAATTTCAGGGTATATCTAAGTATCAAATGTGCAAGTGTGTTGATGTTTATTTTTACAAAAGGCTAAGTGCACTATTTTAGGATCAATTCAGGCTTCAGTATTTTCCACCTACTCCACTCTGATTTTGGAAACAGGATTTGAGGCTGCAGCACCTGACAGCTGGAATACTTCACAGAAGTCTACAGGTAGTAGACAGGACACATAAAATTAGAGTGCCAGACCAAAACTGAAATTCCTCACTGTGACTTTAAACTTGTAGCTTTCTAGAGAAAAAAAAAAAAAAAAATATATATATACTGTGCCTTAAACCAGTAAATGAATACACTCCAACTGTAGCCTGTGGACTTCAATAGCCTTATATTTGATTTTTGAAGTTGACCAAAAATATTTGTGTGGATCATACTGAAACTTGATTTTGGGAAAAATGCTTTAAATTATTTTGAGCCCATTTTACAATTAGAGAAATGAAGATTTATGACAAGTACCACATATTTTTTGTTTGGAATCACACCAACCAAAGTCAGAAAGCTATAGCTGACCTGAATTTTTCAAGCCTTTCTGTTGTGACCAAAAGAAAAATAAGGAAAACTAGTTGCAGATATCTGTCTCAGCTTTGAAGTCTGTGTGTCTAATTATTTTTAAACATTTTGCTCTTTAGTCCTCAAAAAAAATCCTCTTAATTTTAGTTTAAGCAAAATACTGTATTTAAGCCATTAAATAGCAAAATATTCACCAGTGTGAGAAGAAAACTAGACAGAGGCAGGGTTGATTGTTTGTGTTAAGGCTCTAGAAATTCTGAATACTAAATTTTACTTTTTAGGATAAATATTCACATGTAAATCCCTGAAAATTCACATATAGATTCCCCTTTTTGGAGAAAAAAAATTACACTTTTTTTATCCTAACTCATTATAGAAAACTAGAAATACTTAAGATCTTAAAATCTTGTTCTAGTATAGTAGAAGGATTTCTTAAGTATATCTTATAATACAAAGAGCTCAGGAAAAGCCACTGCTGGCTTTTCTTACTTGTCTCTAGAGGATTCCTTGTGTGTTGTGAACAAACCCTCCAAATTCTGACTTTCCCCCCCCCCGCCACATTAGCACCACATAGCACTGAACCTTGGAAAGAGATGCCATCTCAGAGTTTATTGTTGTACTGGGGGTATTTTATTTACTGGGGATATTTTATTACATGTACACAAACAACTGCCCATCAGCTGGTCACAGAGCTGGTTTGAAGCAATACTCAACAGCAAAATTATAAAAAATTTCCTTTCATTGAGCTCCAGCTTCAGTTTGGGTGCCACAGTGCTGCTGCTGAGCACAACATGGAACACACAATCTTTGTGTCTTCCCTGCTGCTTAAACTCATTCCAGTCACCTCACTTTTTATTTTGTGGTGATGTTTCAGCACTCCTGGCCATTGGTGATTTTCTAGCCACTGGCACTCTAGTACTGAAACCCTTAAGAAGGTAGAACTACCTTTAAGGCCTTTATGTGTGATGATAACTCGAGATAAACTGTGTAACTTGATTCCCCACTGACCTTTTATTGTTTTTTCAAGCACAAAGACAGAATAATGTTGGCCAAAATACTGGGTTTGGGTCATTAATGGGGAGGGAAGGATTTGTTTGTTGTAAAAGGACTTAAAACTTTGAGGAAAACATATGTAATTTTGGGGAAAATCTTATAATTTCTCAAGCAGTCTGTCATAGAAGTTTTTAACTCTTCCTCTGTTTTCAGTTCTTATGTAGCTACCATAAATCTGATGTTGTACATGAACTTACTCTTAATATTTACAGGTTTTTAGAGATGCTGGCAGGATTGTATCTATAAATGTTTGAATAATGCTATAGCAAATTATTGTGCTTATAAAAATGTTTATAACTAAGTTCTTATAGATCATGTCATATGTCATAAATTTTGGCAAAGTCCCTGTCTTGTGAGATGCTGAGAAAACCTTGGAGAAGAGGTATTTTCAGATGATGCTGTAATTGCTGAAGGTGAAATCTTATTGTCTTTAAAAACTGCATTTAGATACTTTTTTGTTGTAGTTGAGGGCAACTTGATTGCAAGCTACTCTGGGATGTTCTTGTTTTGTTTGGTGGTTTCCCTGGCTGCAGTGTGTACTTCAATTTTTTTTTTGTTTGTTTGTTTTTTTTACTGAAATGTGCATGACTTTTAAGTACATTGTATAGCAAATCCCCTGCTTCTGTATATTTTTGTATGGTATTCCAACATGCTTGCATTGGTACAAATGGTTGTAATTCACAAGAAGTGCCACTTGCCAGTGCTGCTCTGTGGAGTGTTGTGTTACCTGTACTGCTGTTGTACAAATGCTGATGACTGTTGTGAGCAATGCTTGCATTTAGTCTTGGCTCAGGTACTCGTGTGGAGCAGTTTGGTGCTTTTCCTTCTGACTTGTAATACTTGGGATTCTAAGCAGAAAATAAAGTAGTAAACAAAAAGCCTTGTGGTTGGAGCAGTGCTTTAACAGGTGCTTCTTTCACACCTCAATGCAAGAAAGAGAGTTTGATAGATACGATGAAGCTTGGCTCAGCATCTTAACTCCAGCACCTTAGTCTTCCTGAATGGGAAATGCAATAAAATCAAAGTGTTTGCTCAATCATACAGTTTATGTAGAGCATCATATGTATAAAACTTGTTCTCAGCTAAACTAGTATATTTTATATTATTATATTTTAGAGGTGAATTGCATGGAACTTAGCAAGCAATGCTATCAGCATTTTCATCTTCATGGCAATTTAATTCAAACATACATGAACATTACTTCCTGTGCCAGAAAGGCTATATAATTAGTACAGACACTTTTAAAACATTTGATTTATTGAAGATGTTTATCAAGAAAACCTAATGCTTAAATTCGGGTGCATTAAAAAGGCAGCACCCTGACATCTAGCTTTGACAGCATTTGTTAAACTTAGCTACTGTCCTCAAAAGTGAGGATGCAATTCAATTCAGTCAGTGTAAGTATACTAATAGTGTTTTAATATGACTGTGTTCTGCTTATATTTGACTTTCTCTGAAGGAAAGAATTGAAATTACTAAAAAAAGACCAACCCACACATTAAAATGAGCTCTAGGTCTAAACAGACTTTTTAGCTCAAATAGTTTCTCAGAGCTGCAGCTCACAGGAAGCAACAATACAAATGTGTAAGGATTTTTCCTTTAGACAGCTCACAGAAAATATATGCTAATTGAATCTCTTACATATCTGCATGCTTCATCAGTCACCCAAATTGCCTGAGTTCCTCCACTAATAAAGCTTGTTTCATATTTGCAGATGGCTTCAGTATGTTTTACAAGCTGAATATACTGCATATCCCCAGTTCTTTGTAAAGAAATCAAAGCAATAAATTAATTGAGGAGGGGAAAAGGTAGAAGAAAACAGCCAGCTCTTCTGGCTTTTTTTTTTCCTTGTCCTCTTTCCAAAACTAAAGAAGGAACTAAAATCTAACTGTAAATCTTGTAAATCAAACTGTAGATCTTGTCTTTCCCCTTTCTGTCATTTTCTCTACAGGATCATATTTCTACTTCTAGCTGAAATAAATATCTACCTAGAAGACCAACAAAGAGAGTTCCCTTATGCTGGGACCTGCCTTTTTCAAGCTATTCTGGTGCTACTGCTCTGATCTTGATGAGTTCACTATCTGGAAGTTGAGTGTTATGAAACCTAATTGATGGGGCTTGATGGGTTTTCTTTTTTTGTGCTAATGATTTTTTTTTTTTAATCCAAATATGCAGAATAATAAACAAGCTGGATAAATTATCTTGATTTTTTTACACACTACTGTAGTCACGAGACTAACACTGCTAGGGTTTTGTTTACTGTGTTGCTAATGTTGTTTGGATGTCCAAAACATCACCTTCCTGGAAGGGTGGTGGCAGATTTTTATTTTGCTTTCAAAATTTAAACCAAAGAAAAATGTAAAGCTTCTAGTCAGACATAAACATCTACACTCTGGAGTAAGGTGATGGTCAAATATTTTTAGTTTTAGCATGTATATTTAGGGATATATTTTATGTGATATTAAACCATGTATCATCTGCATAGCAGAGAGAAGAGTGCAGTGAAATAAAAAAATATGAGCATCTTTGATATGAAGAACGCTATGCACTAAGGCCAAGGTAAATTAGCAGAGTCCTCGTTGCAGCCCTTGTCTCAGTTTCTAGTGTGACAGGCAGATATTAACTGCTGATAAAATCCGGGAAGGAAAGCAATGCTTCCATTAAAATGTTATGATTTTGGACTTTTCCTTTTCTTTTTCCAGCATCAAGAGAAGGATCCGTATCTCATTTGCTTGAAAATCATTAGTCACCATCCTAGAGATATGGCTAATTACTTTTAACTAAAAATAATATTTTGATAAAGCTGTGCCATTTCTCCTGGGAATTGTTTTAAACTTCCTGTATGCTTACTACCAATTTTCTGCAGTATGGCTTGGGAGGAATGTGTACTGCACTGTTCGATAGCAACAGGTCTGAAGAGTATCAAGGATGAAATTCTCAAGGGTCTTTATGTCGTGGTTGGAAATGGAATCATTACTGTATTTTTGAACTCCTGCTAACGTCATTGACACCCACCTACATTCTACTAGAAATATAAGTGCAGAGATCAGGTTGTTCACAGATTACTAGGAGACCAACCAAGAAGGGGCAAGCCAAAGCCAAATTCCCTGGTAAGCTCTATTTTAAAGAGAGGGAGAATTCCTTTTCTCCCCCTGAGTCAAGTTGTGAAATGGATCTCTAGTATGTTAGACCAGGCTGTATTAAATACCATTGCACTTATTATTATATGTAGTAAAATGTAATGCAGGTTTAAAAACTGAGCTCTCTGGATCTTGGGCCATATTTTTGCATTCTCCTTGGAGTACATAGAGTTCTGGTGCTGTATTAGCCACTGAAAATGGTTTTATGTAATAAATGTAAACTTACAAATGTAATATGTTGCGCTGAGTATTCTACTGGTCCCTCAGAAGAGAGTCCAGTGTCTAGAAATAGCTTTGGTATGAGAAACACTTGTTTAGAATAATTTTTTCTTCCAAGTACCTTAGGACTATGAAAACAAAGAGTTGATAGCACATGGATGTAATCTGCAGTGGGCAGACTTTCCTTGGATTCACATGATCTGTGTGTTCCCAGTGACAGCTCTGTAGGATTTAAGGAGTATGTCTGTTTGCCCTTCTTACAGACACTCTGTTCATCTCCAGCATGTGGAAAGTGCTGCTCCTGGGTCTCTACATGGTATTGGCTGTGAGAGGATTGGCACAGGGTGCTTCTTTCCAACCAGAAGATAAATGGAAGCCTCTTGATAACCCCAGAAACAGGGACCTGGTAAGGAAATGTTTTAAGAAAGAAAGCTAAAGTTCGGTGTGGTTTTTTGTTTTCTATTAAGAGACTCCTTATCGTCTAAATTTAAAGGCAAGAGGGGCCCATTAGATGTAAAATCAGGAGCAGTGCACTTTGTATGGTCAATAACCATTTCTCAGTCAAGATGTACCCCTTCACTGAAGAGACAGTCTCAGAGCACAGTAGTGCATAAAACATGCTTATATCTCCATCCAGCAGCTTTCATTTTTAAGAAAATATTTTGATTATACAGCCACTTGTTTTATAAAACAGAAGAGGAATGATTACCGTGTTTTCTTTCCAATGTGTGCTCTGATTGCATGTTGTTTCATCTCATGGAAGTACAAATAAGTCTGCATCTGACAGCTATGAAAATACCACTCAGAGAACATTTACACAATCTTAAAAAGAATTTGTGAAGGAAAGGAATCATTTTTCTGTAATATTTCCCCAGTGTTTTAAGAAGCTTTAATTTCTCCTTGGAAGTGATTGTAAGGGGACAGTTCAATTCATTTGCCCGTTGTTGCTGACTCTGACCAAAATGTTCACAGAAGTGTCCTGTTTGCTCTCAGCAGGGCTTTGCCTGTGCCTGTTTTACAAGGGTGCAGTTATCTCACAGCCCCTGTGGTTCAGTGGGGAGCACAAATGAGCAGGACACAGTTGCTGCTCTTCTGACATCAGATGCACAAGCCATGGATGGAGTGGGCGTGTCTGAATTAGGTTACCTGCACTGTATCAGGTTATGATCAGAATAGAGGATTTCATCCCACAGAAGAATAAATACTACAGCTAATGTGTCAGTAGAAATAATTAATCTCCATGGGTCATGCTCTATTTATTTTCACATCCATGGTCTGTTCAGTTTTTCAGAACGCTCCAGGCTTACTTCTCGGGCAGGGGTCTCGATCTCCGAAAGTTCCCAGCTACTTTCACTGTGAACAATGAAGGACCAAGGCTCTACTCAGATCCTATTGCTTCTGCATTTGCAGATTATGAAGAAAAGAAAAAATCCTTTCAGAACTATTTCAAAGGCTGAAAGATTCTGCTGATGAAGGTAAAAGAAGGTGCCTTGTCCTCTAATGTTGTTATGTGTAGCCAAGAAAGACACTGACTGAAGTATAAAAGTAGCTTCTTTCTCAGAATAAATTAAAAATGTAGTACCTTAACCCTTGTCTGAAGTGGGGTTTAAAATTCTTGAGGCAGAGATTTATGAGGTTGTTACTACTTAGATAAAATAACACATGGTGCTTGTGAGTAGGAGTAAATAGACCGTGATTTTTTTTCTTTTTTCTCCCCTCCGTCATATGGAGGAGAATTCTGAAAATGTAGATAATAGGGGATGCAGGTTTTATGGAAGGAATTGAAAAGAGTAAGATTACAAATTGAGATTAATTAATGGTTTCTTGTGATATATGTATATTAATAAAATTAATTTAGGCATAAGTTATTGCACTAAGAAAGCATACATTATCTTTTACATTCACAGGAAATATTGTTTTCTTCTGGTTTACAAATAGCTGAGAATTTCAATAAGATTTAAATCAAAGCATTTTGGTGATTTACTCAGTATCTTAAAGTGATTAATTTGTAATCAATATTCAGCTTTGGATTTCCAGCTCTGTCCTGTTCTTGGCCTGCTTAACACTTGTCTGTTTATAATCAAAATCAAAGCTTTATTCTTAATATGAACCATAATAAAGATTGCATTCAAATTTTAATACTAAATTCTCTTTTTTCTGAGTTGCTATATCAGGAAAAATAGAATCACCACAGAATCTGTATTTTGTGTGCATGAAAAAAAATGAAAAGGAAATTCAGAAGGGATGCTCTCCTGTAAGTCACAGCAGCAGTGAGAACATGACTGGTGGAAGTTTTGTCCTGCATAATTCAGAATGGTCATGGCAGTGCTTGTCAGTTATGGGAACAGAGGTTCAGCCAGTTTTCTCTTGTATTGGTTTGGATCATACCTTGGTTGCATATATAATACAGAAATATTAGTCTCACTATTAGTAATTTTTTTTGGTCTTTTTTAGGCATTAACTTCAGAACTCCATGCCAAATGGAAACCTTCATATCAAAATTTTACTGCTTTGACTTTTTACCTGTAAGCTGACAATTCCAAAGTCTCTTCACTGTCACCGTTTCTGCCGATGGAATGTGGTGTCCTGCTGCAATGAGCATTATTCTGTCTATTGACAGATGCGTGCTCTTCAGCTACTGCAGTCTGTGAAAAGAATTGTGCTTAAGCGTGAATAAATGAGGAGTGCAACAGCCACTGCCAAGTGTCTTTGTTCAAAGCTGGGAAATAAACGTTCCCTTTCAGATTAATATCAGATTAATAGCAGAGCTGTCCCAAGGTTTTCTGTGACAAGTTTTCAGATCCTCTTTAGGTACAACCCCTTTCTTGGTGACCTCTGGCTGCGTGTGCCCCACCCTGCCCTGGTCAGCAGTGCCCCATCGCTCTGTGTTGGAGTTAAAGCCGCTCGGCGGTGAAGGTGCCGGGGAGCAGAGGGGGCCGGGAGCAGAGGCCGCCGGGGAGCAGAGGCGGCCGCGGAGCAGAGGCGGCCGGGGAGCAGAGGCGGCCGGGGAGCAGAGGCCGCCGGGGAGCAGAGGGGGCCGGGGAGCAGAGGCGGCCGGGGAGCAGAGGCGGCCGGGGAGCAGAGGCCGCCGGGGAGCAGAGGGGGCCGGGGAGCAGAGGCCGCCCGGCAGCAGAGAGGCGGCCCGGGAGCAGAGGCGGCCGGGGAGCAGAGGGGACCGGGGAGCAGAGGCGGCCGCGGAGCAGAGGCGGCCGGGGAGCAGAGGCGGCCGGGGAGCAGAGGCCGCCGTGCCCGGAGCCCGCCCCTCGCTCCCGCTCTGCCCTCACGGCCCCTCCGCCGCCCGGAACGCGCGCGGGCGGCCGCGGCTGCGGCGGGCGCCATAGCGGGAGGGAGGCGGTGCTTCCCTCACAGGGTTCCCCCGGGCCGCGGCGGAGCCATGTCGGGCTTCAGCCCGGAGCTGATCGAGTACCTGGAGGGGAAGATCTCCTTCGAGGAGTTCGAGCAGCGCCGCGAGGAGCGCAAGAGCCGCGAGAAGGTGAGCGCGCCTCGCTTGGCCGCCGCACGGCCCGGGACGCCGCCCTCACGCCAGCAGCTGCAGGGCCCGGCCCGGCGCTCTGCGTGCGGAGGGGCTCAGGCGCTGCCCCGCGGCTGCGGAGCCGCGAGCGCGGCGTGCCGGTCACCGGGACTCGCGGAGAGCGGCGGCGGTGCGGGGCGGCACCGCCCGAACGCGGAGTCGGTGCTGCGGGTCGCGGCCAGGAGCTGGCTCGGGTATCAGCTCAGCCGGGTTGTGCTGCTGCAGCTCCCCCAGCATCATCTGAGGGAGAGAGCCGGCGCGGCTCCTCGTTTGACTACCTGGCAGCAGTGAATGTAGGGAGACATAGTTGTGTGTCCGACGCTATGTAGGCGGTGATTAAAAGGAAACACGCGTGATTTGTCGGAGTGTTGCAGTTCTTTTTAACTTCGCTATATTTGTAACAAGGTGCTACTGAATTTCTGCATTTCTTGGTCTTCAGAGGGCAGATTCAGCAGAACTCAGCTGCTGTGCAAGGACAAGTGTTAGCCTGGGGCAGCATTCTTACAGGAATAATGAGTGCTGGTTTTGTATTGACAGGCTTCTGGAAGGATTTGTCACACAGAACTTTTTCTTTCTAATACAGTCAACCCCACCTCACTGTAATTCCCAATAAGCTATCGACTGGTCTCTTTGCAATGTGAACAATCACCATCTGAGTCACCCCACGTTGATAAAAATATAAATGTCCTGAAAGCAAGTAATGTTGGGTTTTAGTCACTTAAAAATACAGTGCTTATGCTACTTGTTTCACTGGCAGTGCAAAGGCTGGAAAGCCAAATGGTTACTGGAAATATATGGGGGAAATAAAAATTGGTAACACTATAAAGATAATAATTTGTTTTTTTGTGTCTGTAGGATGGTGAAAATGCATCTGCTGAGGAAAATGAGGAAGATGTAGAGGCTCCATCTTCATCCAGAAAAGCATCTGGGAAATCCCAAAGTCAGGATGAAACTGATGGTTGGTGTTTCTGACATAATCATTCCTATTTAAAAAGGCACTGGAAGTATTTGCTCTTCAATACTTAACTTCATAAAAAACTGGCTCCATTTTTCCCCTTCTGGTCTCTGAAGGGACTGAAGTAAAAGGGAAATTAAATTAATAATTATGTTTTATTCAGATGAGGGCAGAGGAAGAAAAGTATTGTGTTTAGATGCTTAATATCCAAGTCAGAATCAAAATTATCAAATATATCCCAGTTGAAAAAAATAACCATAAAACCCAGGTGTGCTCCCCAAGTCCCTCTCCTATATAGGCAATACGTGGTAGATTTGTTTTTCAGTCCCTACTTGATACTGTGGTTATTTTTTAGTCAAATCTTCAGTGTCCAATCCCCCAGCTCAAACCTTTGAACCCTACATATTTAGAGTTTTGTGTATAGATCTGTGGTCACTTATAACCCTGGGTTCACTTCATAATGAGAAGTTATAAATAAAAAATGGGACATTCTTAAAAACTATATGCCTTAAGCATATTTATTCAGAGTACTTAGCATAGTTTTCTTACTTAGTTTAAAGAATTCTATTCTTTTTCCAGAGAAATGCAAATAACATGGATTTTGTATTTACTCATGTTAGAAGGTACTTGTTGTCATGGATGGAATGGTTACAAGATCTTGTTTTCAATTACTTCAAAACATTGGTTGTTCCTCATTGCTCCGTAGTAGAATTCTCTGCTCACTTACAGCCTCTTCAGCTGAAAAGCTTATTGCAGACAGCCAGCTCAATGCTTGAAAATTGCTTAATATTCTTATGGATTGAGAAAAATGTGGATTATACTGTGGTTTCATTCTCTGTGTTCCTTCCTGCTTTCATTTCAGATATCCAAAAGATGTTACAGGCTGGGCCATAGCAAGCATTGGTGATGAATAATAATGCAGAGCTTTAAAACAAAGAGGCTGTCAATAGTTTTTCTGCATTTCTGCAGGCAGCACTCTTACAGAATAGCTGCTTCAAGTGGGCTGCTGTTTTCTCTACAGTTGTCCAGGGAAGCAACATGTCCTCTTCATTATATCATAAACCTATTGTACTTCTTTCTCAACCAGGAGAAACAGCAGACGGGGTCAGTAAATCTGTCCATCGGGTCTTTGCATCCATGCTTGGGGAAAATGAAGAGGAGGAGGATGAAGAGGAGGAGGAAAAGGAAGAAGACCAGGAGGAGCAAGAAGAAACTACAGAGCAGCCTACAGCTGGAGATGTTTTTGTTTTGGAGATGGTTCTTAATCGAGAGACCAAGAAAATGATGAAAGCAAGTATTTAAGCTTTCATATAACTTCCATGTGTCTCCTGACCATACTGTATAAATGCCACTTTGTGTGACTTTAGCTGCTTACTGAGAAATTTGCCTGAAAATTGTTCCAAGTGGGATAATCCTGCTTATGCTGATGTTTGTTATGCTGTCTTTGTTTATTATAAAAGCACTGTAGTTTACTGTTTGAAAGCTTTCAGAAATCGTGAAATCAGTTTTCCCAGTGTCAGAAAGTTATGAACATTAGCAAGTCTTTTAGTCAGTCATTTATTATTGCTAGTACTTAACTTGGTGTTTGGTGGTGGTAAGCACGGCAGGATGTCTTGTGAATTTGGGCACAAGTCAACCTCAGGCAGAAACAGCATCCCTTTCCATTTAGGAGAAAAGACCTCGCAGCAAACTTCCCCGTGCCTTGAGGGGTCTGATGGGAGAGGCCAACATCAGATTTGCTCGAGGAGAGCGTGAGGAGGCCATTCTGATGTGCATGGAGATCATTCGACAAGGTATGGGAGAATGGGCAAACCTTTGGGCTTTACAGATGGGGTGAAGTTTCCATGTGCAGGAGCAGGATTCAGTGTGGCTTCACTGAAGATGAAAATAAATGGTACAAGCAAAATCAGGGTATAAGGAGTAGAATTAAGAATATGTGGTGCACTTCCTTTATTTTTTTGCTTATAAAAAGAAACTAGCACCCCAATTCCGCAGAGGCCCAGGCCTTGGCTTAGCTTTACGCAGTTTGTTTTTACTGTCTTTGTAGATGCAAAGTATAAGCATCAGCATGCCTTGCAGTGTAGAATAATACTATAATTGGTTGTTGTTAGATTCAGTCAAGCTGTTTAATAATTTACAGACAGGAATCAGAAACTTGTCTGCAAGTTTTTCCTGAATTTAAACAGCACATGTTTCATAATTCTGATACCTGTTCTTTGAGAAAGGCAAGTTATTTGTTTCCAGTGTGGATTTTAGACAATAAATCTTAGTAATTATTTTTTGTTTTTTCACAGCTCCTCTTGCTCATGAGCCATTTTCCACTCTTGCCATGATCTATGAAGACCAGGGTGATATGGAGAAATCACTGCAGTTTGGACTGATTGCAGCTCACTTAAATCCTAGCAATACTGAGGAGTGGGTTAGACTGGCAGAAATGTCACTGGAGCAGGACAATATTAAACAGGCTGTTTTCTGCTACACAAAAGGTAGTGTAGCAAACATTTTAATAATTTAAAATTAATGCTAGGTGCTAATGGCAATAATTTTGTTTTCTTCTCCTTTCTAGTTTAGTTTGCTTCAGGGTGCTAGAATTCTGATACCTCTGTCTGGATTTTGGTAAAAAATTAATGAATCTGTAATAGAGGATGTCCTTGCAAAAACCCTGTGCATATTAATTAACATGAATCAAGGAAATTAATGTGAAATCTACTGCTGCCTTTTCCTAAACCCCTGCTATGCTGCTGCTTCTTCCTGTAGCTCTGAAGTACGACCCGAGCAACATGCGCTACCTGTGGGAGAGGTCCAGCCTGTACGAGCAGCTGGGGGAGCAGAAGATGGCCATGGATGGCTACCGACGCATCCTGAACCTCCTGGCTCCCTCCGACGGGGAGCGCTTCATGCAGCTGGCCCGAGACATGGCCAAGTGAGCTGGGATTTGCTTAGCCACGGGAGCCTGGTGCTTAAAGTGTGCAGCTGTCACACAGTGGTTTTTGCCTGTGAACTTCTTTCTTGTGGAAAAGTCTTAACTGCCTGTTTCAAAACAGTTTAAGATCTTTTGATCTCCACGTTTGGAAAATGTACCAAAAAAAAAAAGGATGTGTATTATAACAATGTTATTAGAGAAGGTTTCTTAAAGCAGGTTAATGTGGTACATGATTGTTGCCTGACTCCAATAGGGGAGGCTGTGATGAAAACTCCAGTAATGTCAT